TAACTGCTCCAAATTTAATACATCGTTTTCCCAGTTTCGATATGAAAATGATGACGAATAATAACAATTCACTGAAAAAAGGCTCTTCACAGACATCGTTTAATAATTGGAAAATTCAGAAAGCGGGACTGTGGAGAATAACATCGCAGTTTATTCCTAACGTGAAATATCTAATCACGGCAAATAAGAGCCAAAAAAAGGTATTCCCTACCCACATAAATGTGCGTGCGTGCGTGCGTGCAAGCTACGAAATAGACGACCAAGAGAATCCCCACTTCGTTTCCCCCTTCAGGTTACAACAAATAGATCTATATTTTTTGCTTGACAAATTCTTTATCAATGTTATTTCCAATGGCCATCTTTTCAGATCTTACCTATCTACTGAATGTCAAATGTCGCCTTATTTACCAGTGAGTGCATTGATGTGTGAAAACGACTCAACCTAACAATAAATCAACAAAGTGAATTATTTGTTAATATTTGGGAATAAATAGACTGTGGAAGAATTGATTGCCCTTCACTGAAATTACTCGGAACTGGCAGATCAGTACGTGTAGTGTTTTTGAATTTTTCACACACTGTTCATTGATTATGCTTGAAATAAAAGACAACTATTCAAGGCAAACGACAATGTACGTTGCAGCCCACATCAATATCAAATAGGAGAGCGAATTGAAAAAAGAATTTTACCACATCATGTTGTATCACAGCCTATATCAGTCTGGCTGTAAATAATTGTTGTATATTTACCTGGTCTATTTATTAAATCTCTTCACTTTTCACACATTCCCATTTGAACATACAAAAATATACTTGTAGCTCAGCTTTCACACCAAACATTTGATTAATTTCAGTGATGTAATTAATCCTCAGTATCAGTTTACAAACTCCAAATCTTTCCAGAGAGGAAGCTTCATTTTTCTCTTTCATAAATATGCGTCCTTCATAGTTCTTATCCTTAAAAAAATTACAGTTGGTTTTTTTTTAAATATAAAATGCCATACTCCTTTAGTTTTAGTATTACTTTTTTAATTTAAGGGTTTGTTTAATTACCTTCCTATGTTCGGGTTAGTTTATATAAATACATTCCACATATTAGGGCTACGACTTTTATTTCTTTCCTATATTACCAAACAAGGTGCACGCCAACTAGCAACATGTAGAGTCCCTCTTGTCCAATATCCCGCAGTGAGATGTTTTCAAAACATCCGCAGCACACTGACACCATTTGATTTCTATTTTGTGTAAATAAAAAAAAATCAGCCACCATCTGCTTGAAAAGACATAACTCAGCCTCCTTAAAAAGTCTCATCAACACAGAGTATTTAGTGAGCAAAGCCATAATCTTTCACAGTGATACATCACCATGAGAGACAATATATGTCTGTAACCCTAATTGATTGTTAATCATTTCAAATCTTCCCTTGGTCAGACGCTCTATCTATTCCACTAGACCACGGCGGTAATAAGTACCATGGAGATAGAGATGTATTTGGTATGACGTGACCGGCCGGGGCTCGAACCCCGACCTTTCTCTCTGAGGTCAGACGCTCAATCCATTCCACTAGACCACGGCGGTGGTAAGGACTATGGAGATAGAGATGTATTTGGTATGACGTGACCGGGGATCGAACCCCGACCTTTCTCTCTGAGGTCAGACGCGCTATCTATTCCACTAAACCACGGCGGTGGTAAGGACTAAGGAGATAGACATGTATGTGGTATGACGTGACTACACGTTACACACCAGAACTTGTGCACTTGTTGAGGAGGAACAAATCTAGACGATATCACATAACATCTAAGATCCGTGAAGATGCGGGAAAGAATTGGTCTTCATAAGAGGCGACTTACGGGATCGGTGGTCAGACTAGAGAATTATTTTCAGCAACCTATGCTTGTCGTAAGAGGTGACTAACGGGATCGGGTGGTCAGACTCGCTGACCTAATTGATGCATGTTATCGTATCCTATTTGCCTAGATCCATGCCAGTCACTGGATTGTCTGGTCCAGACTCGATTATTTACAGACCGCCGCCATAGAGCTGGAATATTGCTTACAACTTATTTGAAGAAGAATAACGATTATCTACCTCCCATGAAACAATGTTGAATGTTACAATATTAACTCGCGACAGATAATCTGTATTTTTTCATAGTTCGTAGGTTATTATCTAAACGTCTGTTTTTAGAGGTGAGGTGAAATGGGGTTTAACGTCGCGTCCAAGATTATTGCACTTATATAGCGACGTGGTCTGTTTTTAGAAAACTGTAATATACTGATGGAAATAAACAAGGGAACGGTATTCAGAGAAGCACCTGTTTGATGTGTCATCCTGTTTACTTCATCCTCAGTTGCGGTGGATGCCATGATGGTGGGCATTGTCTTATGGTTGATCAGCTGAGTGAGTGAGTGAGTGAGTTAGGCTTTACCCTGCTTTTAGCAATATTCCAGCAGCATCACGGTGTAGGGGGGGGGGGACACCAGAAATGGGCTTCACACATTGTACCCATGTGGGAATTGAACCCCACCTCGTCTGTAATACAGACCCTGAAACAAATATATCCAACAAAGCCCATGCACGTCTATAATATTGGGCAAGTCTAGAGTACTGCAGTATCAGTATCTGAAAATGAAGAAAGCCATGGCTCCTTTTGATTCTAATTTATAACTACAATTTAACAACTATTTTTATTGTAAAATATGTCCATTTCAGACTAGAGGCGAGTCTACCCACCACCCTGACATTATCAGTATCTGCTTCTACTCATATGATAGGGATGGTATGTTTTGTTTGCACGCTGTGCTGTCGAGCCATGTTTGTTTGTTGTTTAACGCTGCTCACAGCAATATTAGAGCTATATGAGGGCCGTCTGTAAATAATCTGGACCAGACAATCCAGAGAATGACATCATGAGCATTACGCAATTGTATCTATAGTAATAATCTCACTCCAGTTGTGAGCATGTATATTCATGGTAATGACGCTGTTGAGGATGGTCATGATGTTGCTGATGCTGCTGATGTCGATGATAACGTGGATGTGCGTTGATGAATAATTAATAAAGTACCCCAGTGTTTTGTGTTGTAGTTTTGTATGGTGTTGTGAGTGACTGAGCTGGTTTTACAGGCTTTTAACAGCATTCCAGTTATATCAGCTTAATGTGGGAGGAAAGCCCGAAGTGATGCAGGTCTCAGGCGTTCACAACTTTGGTTAAACCCAAGGTGTTATAAAGCTAGAAACAAAATTGGGGCGAACCGGGATTCGAACCCACAATCATAGGTTTCTGGCGTGCCAAAGGGACGCAACTCTGCACATCAAATCGCGGCGCCTTAGACAACTGGGTTACCCGTGCCCCCTCTTAATCATGAAATCTCTTTGGAACAGTTTTGAACTTCTGAAGAATGTTTTACTGCAAATAATAGTCTAAATCATACTTGCTGGCTGTGAGTTTGTTTATACACACAGAGTAACCAAAACAAAGTCATTTGAAAAATTGGCACTTTATTGCTCAATCATCATGGCAACACATTCAATAATTCAGACAATACACCACCCTCTCTATTAACATGCATCCATGAGCCTCTCGTTCTTCCACATCCTCACTAACTCACACACACACATGCAAAGTTCAGAATATCAACAGCAAACTGCAAACTGTCACATTCGATCAAAATAATCTAAAATAGATGACATCCATACAAATATAGAATTGTGGTCAGTTTTATAACATTGTCAAACACAGGCATGGCTGACCAAACCACATCTGATCTCTGGGTTGGGTCAAAGTACTTGTTTACTTGCTGTAGTTAGTTAATGTAACTTCGTTCATTTGTTTGTCCCACTTTCTCAATTCTTTGATGAAGTACCAACACCTCGATGCAGCTCTTCCTCAGCAAAATCCTTGACTGGAACTGAGAGAGATGGTCTAATGCTGTTTGGAACTGTATCTCGGTCACACCTCAGTTGTCAACTTAATGTAAGACATGTCGTACTTTGAATCAACACACGAGCACTGGCAAGATACTGAAAACAAAAGCTCCTAATCATGGTGCTTCCTCCTCTTTAGAAAAATATTTCAAAATTAAAAACCAGAAATCAAACAATAGTTATCTTTTAAGTAATGCGTTAAGATCTTAAATAGGCAACTTAATCCAAATATATAACAGATTACGAACTTGAAGACAAGACATCTGAATGTATAAACAAAGCTTACTATTTTACTCTATTTTATGATCAATTCCAAAGGCAGGAAGTATTCTATAATCCAAGGCATTGGTACTCCATCAGAAAGACTGGTTCAACACAAACATCATAAATAGGAGACAACCCATACTCACTGTCTAGGACACGTGGTAATGATGTCTGACTGATCAAAACAGACAAAGCTCAGCATGGCGCAAGGGAGATAACTGGCAAAACAGGGGAAGTAACTGGAGCCGATTTTGCATAATGCCGCTACTAACGTTGGATTGTTCATGTTGGGCATCAAAACCTTTTTTACACAGATAACAAAAGTTACCTAACTTTGAGAGAATGAAAATGATATAGATTACAGCTGTAATTCAAAATTACTGCAGGCTTTTCAGACCTACATTTAATGAGCAACACCATCTTAAGACATTAATGAAAAGAAACAGATGTACATAGGAAAGAAATAGGTGATTAGCAATTTTGAAATTCAGAAAAATTGACTCACAAAGTAATGATAAAGGATGTAAATGAACATCTTGGAACATTCAACCTGAAAGTATGTATCAACATGTTCACACTTATGTAATCTGACATTTATACTTGACATGGTATTGGTGAACCAAAACGTGCTCAAGTCTGTTTCATACAATAGACATTTCTGCAGTAGAGTACAAGTAGTATTTTCAATGAATTAGGATTACAATGAATCAACAAAATAACAGTTCCATCACAGCAGGAAGTCGCTTGTCAAGCCATGAGACTGACATAAACAGGCAATCAAACTAGGAAGTATCCATACTTGGACCTTGTGGCAGCCTGATACAAGTTGCTCCTAGCAACAAGCTGGGGGACCTTGTGGCAGCCTGATACAAGTTGCTCCTAGCAACAAGCTGGGGGACCTTGTGGCAGCCTGATACAAGTTGCTCCTAGCAACAAGCTGGGAGCCCTTGTGGCAGCCTGATACAAGTTGCTCCTAGCAACAAGCTGGGGGGACCTTGTGGCAGCCTGATACAAGTTGCTCCTAGCAACAAGCTGGGGGACCTTGTGCAGCCTGATACAAGTTGCTCCTAGCAACAAGCTGGGGGACCTTGTGGCAGCCTGATACAAGTTGCTCCTAGCAACAAGCTGGGGGTCCTTGTGGCAGCCTGATACAAGTTGCTCCTAGCAACCAGCTGGGGGACCTTGTGGCAGCCCGATACAAGTTGCTCCTAGCAACCAGCTGGGGGACCTTGTGGCAGCCTGATACAAGTTGCTCCTAGCAACAAGCTGGGGGACCTTGTGGCAGCCTGATACAAGTTGCTCCTAGCAACAAGCTGGGGGACCTTGTGGCAGCCTGATACAAGTTGCTCCTAGCAACAAGCTGGAGGACCTTGTGCAGCCTGATACAAGTTGCTCCTAGCAACAAGCTGGGGGACATTGTGGCAGCCTGATACAAGTTGCTCCTAGCAACAAGCTGGGGGTCCTTGTGGCAGCCTGATACAAGTTGCTCCTAGCAACCAGCTGGGGGACCTTGTGGCAGCCTGATACAAGTTGCTCCTAGCAACAAGCTGGGGGACCTTGTGGCAGCCTGATACAAGTTGCTCCTAGCAACAAGCTGGGGGGTCCTCCTGACTGGGGACAGTTCCTACATAGGTAAGAGTGCATGTCTATCGTTTTGCTTAAAGCTTCTCTCCATCTGCATCTCAACTGCAGACTGAGTGAGTGAGTGAGTGAGTTAAAGTTTAACGTCACATTGGCAATATTTCAGCCATATCGTGACGAAACAAAACTGCACACTGAAAACATGACTCTAAATATGCAGAACTTGTTACCGGAATCCTGATTGTTCAAAGGACATAGATTCAGTTACGCCTGTCGTATCATAGTCAAAAGCTGTGATCTTACCCATATTATGCACTTCTAAGCAGTACAGCTAAAACCAATTTAATTTAGACTTCAGTGAAACAGACCTAGCTTTTAGAAATATAAATCACAATGTGTGACAGAAGGCATCAACACAGCAAGGGTTAAAAAATATTTACGCTCTGCAATTCACCCATGAGAACAATCAGAGATAAGCCAAAATAGTGTCACATCGATTCAGTATTTTTTCTGATATTAATCCTTGTTCAACATGCTTACAGTATCATGTATTACAGATCATAGATGCTAGTATTCAGGAATACTGGTTAGGTGTTCTTTATCTTCCTAGAGCCAACTATATCAAAAGTATCTATCGTAATGTGACGTCCACTGTTCAGACATTCCAACATAGAACAGTAACTCCACTAGTTACATATACACCTGAAAAAAAGTTAAGCACTGCTTACTATACTCCTACTAAAAAAGAGTTAAAGAACATCCAATGTTTTCAAATGACTATAGCTCATGTCTGGCCCATGACACATTAACCATAGTCATATAAAACAATCAGGTGTTCCTTAACTTCTTTTGAGTACTATATATATTTCAACATGAAACAGCCATGTCTGTTTATCAGACCCTGTAATAAATTTCCAAAGTTAAATCCTCACATTAGCAAAACTAAAACTGATTATGTAATGCACTTTGTAGCTATTCCATGGCAACAGATGCACTTAAGTTCGGAATATAGGACAAGAAAGACTGGGTGGTGATTAACTTTTTTCAAGGTGTACATTTTTAAAATAAATATTGCAATGTTACATAAGACCGGAAGCACATTTTTTAACCCTTGCAGTATCAATGGCTGATAACATGACATGTATACTGTGTATGTCATTGAACTCCAACAATACAATCCTGACATCATTCAGGCAAGAGATGCTGTACATTATGCATAGTTTAATTGGAAACATCTTTGTTGGAGATAGGAGTGTTGTGACAGCAGAGATTCTGCTCCTAGCTACTGGGTGAGGTGGAATCTTCATGGAACGTGTGTTGACACACACAGCAGCCCAGGAACTGGCTCAAGGTACTTACAAGCTGGTAGAATGACACCATTAAGAATTAATCAATAACATAATATTTAAGATATGACGGAGTCTTCTAATAAACATTTTGAAAATGTAATTTCCGCTCAAAGTGAATTAATATATGAGCTGCTACAATGATGTACATTTGGCAACATCCTGAGTGGACTACTTTATCTGTTGAACGCTGATTCTATTAAGATGTTTGTGAGATGAGATATTGGCCAAAAGACAGTAAGAATCCATTTAAATAGATGCCATGTAGGCAGTTCTATGTAAATGGACACACACTGCCTTCAATAAATCCATTACCGACATTATCATCCATGGAAGTCTGAACTCTCGATATTCTTGACATCACAAACCAAACAACACGTTCCGAGTCTGTTTGTTTTGCTGTATATTTTGTCTGAGTCAACTGTGTCGTGTCTGAGTCAACTGTGTCGTGTCTGGAGACACAGCAGAATTCTTGTCTTCATATTTCAGCGACTGCGTTAAGCTATTACCGATGGGATTTCATTCATGGAACACCCAAATTCATTCAAGTATAACATCGTTACATAAATATCTAGATCGTTAAATTCGGTGCAATATGTTGGATTGAATTAAGTCAGGTTATTGCTATGATAGCAGCTTGATGGAACAGAGAATAATCTCTCTGAATAGCAAAGCCTAAAGTTTAAATTGTGTTTTACTGGTAACTACATAATAATTAAAAAACAACAAATCTCACTTCTGTCAACTTATGTGAAGCAGAGAACCTGTATAAAAGCCATGTATCCGGTTTGGATAATTATGCGATAACAATAAAAGTATGTTAAGAAATGCAGAAACTATTCAGGTTATCCTGGGCTTCATAAAGACTTAACATTGTGATCCCTGACAAATTCAGTTAAAATTCATCGTGCTTAAGTACTTGTTTTCTCTGGAACAATATTTTCACTAAAGAAACCAACACGCAATTAAAATAACAAAGGCACAAGCACCTTCTCAATATTAGATTGAAGAAAGAATGTATTGACATGGGACACTGGCCGCCTCCAGGACACATGGCAAAGAGAGGCCTCGAGTTGCATCATCGCTGTCATGTTGCATCTCACCAAGCAGCAGAAGCGGTCCATGACGCACCAACGTCGTTTTCAACTATCGACTTTCTTCAGATTTCTTTCCTCTTTGTTACTTTCCCTGTTGTGCAGCACCCTCTGACGATGGAAAATAGTATTTAGTATCACAGATATTTGCTTCAGGTTTGGACTATGTGTTGGCTGGGACGACCCGATCACAGCGTTGGAGGAATCCTGACCGGGTCCATCCTTCACCAAGCATATTCCATCACCAACAGGCAGATAGTCAGTGGTGTCCACCCGATCTACTTTCAATGGGGTACAGAAGTCTGTTGCTGAACAGTCACATCAGCCAATCAGTTGTTGAGGCACCAGCATTGGAGTTGGCGTCATCTGAATCAATCCACTATATACTAGCACACCAGTTAGTCACCATTCTCGTTCAATATCTGTGCCAAGACTGAAATCTGGAGGACAATTTTGCAAGTAACAAGCAATGAGGATATCATCTCAAATCTTGACGGGGCTGTGTCCAGCTTTGCAAACAGCAGGTCCAACATTGCAACAATCTCGGCAACAGAAAGTAAAGGAAAGACCACATTTCATAGCACCAATGTTCAGTCCACATTCTCGATCTCGCCAGCGTTGACCCGTGTGGGGTCAGCATGGACCGTGAAGCCAAGGATGCTCTTGTCAATCTTCTGCATCTTGCCCTTCTTCTTCTTGTTCTTGTTGCGGGCTGCCGACTCAGCATCATTGTTGTTGCTGGACCGGACCTCCTTCGGGTTGACTGCAGGTGCTGGGCCCCAAATACTGTCCTGTAAATAACAGGTATAATACTGTCCTGTAAATAACAGGTATAATACTGTCCTGTAAATAACAGGTATAATACTGTCCTGTAAAAAACCGGTATAATACTGTCCTGTAAATAACAGGTATAATACTGTCCTGTAATAAAATGCTCTTCTCTTTATAAATTCAAAGGCCTTTTAGCAGACATTGAAGGCAATCATGTAAACCTAAGCATAAAAGCTCTTCATCCTTACTGGTCATATTGTCATCCCTGTTGTCAGGGTACCCACCCCCTCCCAGTGTCAGGGTACCCACCCCCTCCTGGTGTCAGATACACCCCTGGTGTCAGGGTACCCACCCCCTCCTGGTGTCAGATACATCCCTTGTGTCAGTGCTACAAGCCAGGTACCCACCCCCTCCTGGTGTCAGATACATCCCTGGTGTCAGGCTACCCACCCCCTCCTGGTGTCAGGGTACCCACCCCCTCCTAGTGTCAGGGTACCCACCCCTCCTGGTGTCAGATACATCCCTGGTGTCAGGCTACCCAGCCCCTCCTGGTGTCAGGGTACCCACCCCCTCCTAGTGTCAGGGTACCCACCCCCTCCTAGTGTCAGGGTACCCACCCCTTCTGGTGTCAGATACATCCCTGGTGTCAGGCTACCCACCCCCTCCTGGTGTCAGATACATCCCTGGTGTCAGGCTACCCACCCCCTCCTGGTGTCAGATACATCCCTGGTGTCAGGGTACCCACCCTCCTGGTGTCAGATACATCCCTGTTATCAGGGTACCCACCCCCTCCTGTTGTAAGATACATCCCTGTTATCAGGGTACCCACCCCTCCTGTTGTAAGATACATCCCTGTTATCAGGGTACCCACCCCCTCCTGTTGTAAGATACATCCCTGTTATCAGGGTACCCACCCCCTCCTGTTGTAAGATACATCCCTGTTATCAGGGTACCCACCCCTCCTAGTGTCAGATACATCCCTGTTATCAGGGTACCCACCCCTCCTGTTGTAAGATACATCCCTGTTATCAGGGTACCCACCCCCTCCTGTTGTAAGATACATCCCTGGTGTCAGGGTACCCACCCCCTCCTGTTGTAAGATACATCCCTGTTATCAGGGTACCCACCCCCTCCTGTTGTAAGATACATCCCTGTTATCAGGGTACCCACCCCCTCCTGGTGTCAGATACATCCCTGTTATCAGGGTACCCACCCCCTCCTGGTGTCAGTGCTACAAGTCAGGTACTCCCCCTCCCCACCCCCTCCTGGTGTCAGTGCTACAAGTCAGGTACCCACCTCCTCCTGTTGTCTCTCTAGTCTGGCCTTCTGCTTATACTGGCTCCGTTTCTCCAGGAACTGCCGACCAAACTCCTTTGCAGCACCAGACTCACCAAGGTACGACCTCACATAATCATGGACCTGTGGCACAAAATATCTAACAGTATATACAAGTGAGTCATTAAGAGACTTAGATCTGTTATAACAGGAGTTGTCTGCCAAATTGAGTCTCATACCAAATCAGACCTTCATTAATGAAACAATAATAGACACACATTGTGAGTGTTTAATGCTGCAATCAGCAATATTTCAGCTATAGACGGGTCTGTAAATAATCAAGTCTGAACCACAGTCCAGTGATTGACATCATGAGCATCAATCCACACAATTGGGATACAATGACATGCATCAACCAAGTCAGCGGGCCTGACCACCCAATCCTAATTGTCGCTTCTTACGACAAGCATGGCTGCCTTTTACTGCAAGCATGGACATTGTGAGTGAGTTGGGTTCAACATCCCAAGGAATACTATTTCAGTCACATGGCATACTTAAACTAATGAATGTCCTTATGTTGTTTAACACACTCAATATACCAGCTCTATCATGGCGGCCTCAAATAATCGAGTCATCGCATCACAATACAGAGATTTGTAGGACCTGGTGGATCCAATCAGCTGATCCCACCATGTACCAGTAACCATGGTAACGGATACAAAGTAGGACTTGTATCAATGTTTATGATAATAGGGAAGAGAATGTATGGATGTCAACTTTTTATCATGAGGAACACAACATTTAGGAGTACATGCTTACTCCTTCATCAGGTGAATGATACTGCATCGTCTCCATCTTGATGTTGTATCAAGTCTTTGAAAGGCATTTAGAAGTGATACACATAAGGAAGAGAACTTATGGATGTCAACTTCTTTAATATTTATTTATGATAACGGACCACAATTCCTACCTCATATGGAGAATCAACCTCTTGCAGGAAGGCAATGAATGTTGGAACTGAAAAATAGAATTGTTGAATAAACATCTGTAACAACATGAACAAAGTGATATTCCAAAACACATCCTTCATTGTAAGCAACAGATCTCTACAAGTTGCTCGTTACAAGAACTTTCGGAGGGGATCCCAGTCTGGTTTTGTTCATACTTCTCACAATTCAAAACCCGAAATTGAAACTAAGAGAGTGAACATGATTCCAGCCATAATTGAAAGAGGAAGGGAAAGAACAATGAGTGAGTGAGTGAGTTAATATTTAACGCCCCCTCGGCAATATTTCAGCCATATCGTGAAGAGAAGTTATACGTTAAGAATACATATATTTAGATTAAATCGATGTACAGTAAAATAACTGGACTATCACAGATTAATATTTAAAACTAGCATACAACCAAAAACAGATATCACTCTATGTAACGATACACCAGCTGAAGGTGGATCCCCATGCTAGGGTCCATGGGGACTTACAGTACCTTTGCTGCCTGCATGGACCCCAGCCGGATTTACACCATGCTTCAGGCTATTGATCTCCAACAACTGAAGGTAGATCACCATGCTAGGGTCCATGGGGACTTACAGTACCTTTGCTGCCTGCATGGACCCCAGCCGGATTTACACCATCCCTTCAGATATCACTATATGTAACGATACACCAGCTGAAGGTAGATCACCATGCTAGGGTCCATGGGGACTTACAGTACCTTTGCTGCCTGCATGGACCCCAGCCGGATTTACACCATCCCTTCAGATATCACTGTATGTAACGATACACCAGCTGAAGGTGGATCCCCGTGCTAGGGTCCATGGGGACTCACAGTACCTTTGCTACCTGCATGGACCCCCCGCCAGATTTACACCATCCCTTCAGGCGTTGGCAATTAGTGTCAAATTTAGCCACGGTTAAATTAACACATATTCTACGTTAAAAAATGTGACAGAGAAAAATGACTTTGAATGACAAGATACAGGCAGCAGACATTTATAATCTCAATGAAAGATACCAGCATAGATGATGACTGAGGTGAACCTGGTATATGAACCCTGTATAACATTATTCTGGGCAGACTAAGGTACAGAACTCTACAGTGAATTGCCTTGCTTTATACCAGAGTGAGTGAGTGAGTGAGTGAGTGAGTGAGTGAGTGAGTGAGTGAGTGGTTTAAAGCCCCTTTTAGCAATATTCCAGCAATATCACAGGGGGATATACCAGAATTGGGCTTCACATATAGTCCCCATGTGGGGAAATCGAACCCTGTTATTCAGTGTGAAGAGCGATCGCTTTAACCAGTGGGCTACCCCACCACCCCATCTTTAAGAGTGAGGTGTATTTTTTATTGCTTTCAGTTTCACCAGCAGTTCACTTAAATAATGTCAAGTCAACTGAAAGCGTGAGGAAAAGAGCAAAAGACACAGAAAGTAGACGTGTCCCGCTTCGGTAAAAGCCATGAGCAGGGATCAGATTCAAGGTGGACCTGGAATATGAGCCTGCAATTAGCGGATCCTGTCATGACAAAGGGACGTAACTCTCATGTCACTCATTCCCCAGATTAACATAGGCAAGTTTTCACATGACCTACCATCCACTGATGATGCGAGTCCTGCGAGTGCCTTCTCACACCACTGAGTGAAATCGTCAACAGGCCTTGCTAACTGAAACATCTTGTGCACAGCATCCTGCAACACAAATTATTTCTCATATCAAACAACTATAACAATAACCATAAGAAAACCATATCAGGATAAGAAGAAAATGCACAAAATATTCAAACTTCTGTGATATCAAATGTATAGATGTACAAAAACATTTGAAATTTCTTGCACTTCCGCTAAGTACATCAGAAACTAATGTACACTTACTTCGTGGAGAGGGTCAAACTGCTTTCTAATACAGACGCCTTGGGTGAGTGGGTATGGTTTTACGCCACTTTTAGCAGTATTCCAGCAATATCATGGCGGGGGACACCAGAAATGGGCTTCACACATTGTACCCATGTCGGGAATCGAACCAGGGTCTTCAGCATGATGAGGGAACACTTTAACCACAAGGCTACCCCACTAGAGAGGCCTGTAGGGTGATTGAGCTATGCTTAAAGTCACTTAGAACACCATGAACACAATGGGTCCTAATATGGATTCCAGCAGACAATCAGCACAACAGATCTCTTGAGTGAGTGAGTGAGTGGGTATGTTTTTACGCCACTTTTAGCAATATTCCAGCAATATCAGGGCTGGAAACACCAGAAATGGGCTTCACACATTGTACCCATGTCGGGAATCGAACCCAGGTCTTCGGCGTGACAAACGAACACTTTAACCACTAGGCTACCCGCCTGCCCCATATCTCTTGAAGAGAAACTAGACTTTGTTGATCATTATAGACAGGAGAAAATTACAGTGAAGATGTAAATATAAAGTGCTAGCCTTCATACACGTTGTGCATGCTCAAAGTGCTTGTGTTAGCACATATAATGCTCAGATTAGCTGAGATTTGAACATGTCCAAAGTTTAATGCTCAGAGATAGTCGGTTTCACAATTCTGGGGAGGCAACACTGAAAGATTTTTCATATTTTGTGAGTTTGTAGTGTTTAATTGATAAGGGTGTTGATTTTCTGAGCCCCGAGACCCAGGGGCTTGTCCTCAGCCAGGAACTTGATGATCAATGGTGGTGTTAGGCCATGCGGTCTCTTACATGTGAGGCGGAGCCAGGAACTTGATGATCAATGGTGGTGTTAGGCCATGCGGTCTCTTATACATGAGGCAGAGTACTATGATCACTGTCTGGCCTAAACCTTCAGCCAGGAACTTGATGATCAATGGTGGTGTTAGGCCATGCGGTCTCTTACATGTGAGGCGGAGCCTGGAACTTGATGATCAAAGGTGGTGTTAGGCCATGCGGTCTCTTATATGTGAGGCGGAGTACTTTGAACACTGTCTGGCCTAAACCTTCAGCCAGAGAAGTGACATCACGACTGGTGTAGTGTGGGAATATTTTGCTTACCTCCTCTTTCTTTGGTTTTGTCTGTCTGTTGCGGTTTGCAGTAGCGGCGGCAGCTGCTGCTGCTGCCGCTGCAGCTGCAGATGCATTAGTCGTTGCATTATTGTTTTGTTGGTTTCGTTTCTTGCCCCCTAACGCAGGAAACTCACCACTGAAAAAGTGTGGACTTGAGTGAGACACATGGAAAATGAATACACATACCTCCACACACTGAACAACTGAAGAGACCTATCGTCAAAACTGTGCAGGGTTTATGGTTTTGTTATGTTCAAAGAATGAAACAAAAATGTAGAAATAGAGGATTGTTTTGTTGGTCAGATTCACATCCAAATTATTGAATACACTCGCTCACATCACATGAAGTGATCTACACCCCTAGATCAACATCCAGGTCCCCAATCCACAGTTGTGAGTCTTTGGTAAATCCTATAGACGTACGATAGTCGATAGTCGTAGCACTACAAACATTGGACTTGGGGCTCAGGTCATTAAGTAAGGAAGGAGTATGGTCTTACGCCGCTTTTAGCAATATTCCAGCAATATCACGGCAGGGGACACCAGAAATGGGCTTCACACATTGTACCCATGTGGGGAATCAAACAGGGGCCTTCGGCGAGACGAGCAAACGCTTTAACCACTAGGCTACCCCACTGCCTCTAGGTCATTAAGTACACATACATTTGTCTTGTGCTTCTATCATTCTGTAAGCACGATCAGGAGCTGCTATTTCTCACCAACCTTTCTTTCTCTTTGGTTGCTGCCCTTCCTGAAGATATCACAGCCTCATCCCAGAACCCCAGGCCCCCCCCTGACTTGTCCGTCTTCCACACAGCGTTCCCCCCCCACCCCGTGGACTGAGCACCATTGCTGGCCACGTTGCTCCACATGCTAGGTGTAGCCATGGTGGCAGCTGTATTCTGGGGAGAGAGGAAGCAGGTCTCAGTATCATCTGACAAACAAACTCGTTTAATTTTCTTTAACTTCTCTTCAGTCCTGAGAGTATTATTCAGGGCTCCAGCATTCTTTGGGACATTTTCTTTTCGACATGTTATCATTCACTTTGGGTTCTGATAGTTATCTTTGGGTTTGCAAAATATTTAAACTCCCTTGCAGGGATAGAGTGAGTGAGTGTGTATGGTTTTACGCCGCTTTTAGCAATATTCCAGCAATATCATGGCGGGGGACACCAGAAATGGGCTTCACACATTATACCCATGTCGGGAATCGAACCCGGGTCTTCGGCGTGACGAGCAAACGCTTTAACCACTAGGCTACCCGACCACCCCTTTGCAGGGATAGAGTTATACTTTAAAAGTCTACCAGCCCAAATAGTGACAACATGGAGGAACATCCCCAAAATGTTCGAAATTCTACCAGCCCTAAGGATGCCTTTAGCATTAATGTAACTGACCATGGCTACAGGGCTAGAGCTAACGTCTATCCCTGCCTCGGGGCCCTTTGGTTAATTTAATACTGATGAGTGAACCTTCAGCAACCCATGCCTACCGTAAAAGGCGACTATGCTTGTCGTAAGAGGCGACTAACGGGATCAGTTGGTCAGGTTGGTTGATGCATGTCATCGTTTGTTTGTTTGTTGTTTAATGCTGCACTCAGCAATATTCCAGTTATATAATGGTGGTCTGTTAATAATCGAGTCTGGACCAGACAATCCATTTTTTTATATCATGAGCATCAATCTACGCAATTACCATACGATCAACCAAGTCAGTGAGCCTTATCACCCGATCCCATTTGTCGCCTCTTATGGCAAGAAAGGGTCGCTGAAGACCTATTCCACCCCGGATCTTCACAGGTGCATGTCACCATATATAAGTTGCCTGGATCTATGTTAATGATGTTAATCACTGGATTGTCTGGCCCAGACTCCCATTATTTACAGACCACCGTCATGTAGCTGGAATATTGTTGAATGAGGCGTTAAACAACACAACAAACAAACAACAAGATATCACAGGACACAAAGCCATGTCACACATCCGATTGTCATCTAAGTCGTCTCTTAGGACAAACAGAGTACTAGTGATCTATTCAGACCTGTCTCTCTAGGAGGTAGTGACCTATTCAGACCTGTCTCTCTAGGAGGTAGTGACCTATTCAGACCTGTCTCTCTAGGAGGTAGTGACCTATTCAGACCTGTCTCTCTAGGAGGTAGTGACCTATTCAGACCTGTCTCTCTAGGAGGTAGTGACCTATTCAGACCTGTCTCTCTAGGAGGTACAGGACCATGTGGATTGTGATGGTGCATACCTTGGGCGGAGTGGGCTGAACTTGTTTGGCTTTCTTCTTGTTTTGGTCTAACTGTTTGGCTTTCTGTTCCTCCTGTATGTCCAGCAGTGACTTCAGTGTGTTCGTTGCAGCCTGGTTCACCGTCCTGTAACAGTGTCATCATACAGTGGAGGATCTCTCCTATACTCATGCCATGAAACAAGAGACAGACGTAGCAGGAACACTCTGCGGAACCAACGAGAATGGGGATGGTGCTGACAACCCAGGGGTGATGAGGGGGTGATGAGGTGGTGATGAGATGTAATGTGACTATAAGCCTAATGCCTCAGACAGCTTAGGTCGTATACTCCCCAGGGAGATGAGAATGGGGATGGTGCTGACAACCCAAGGGGTGATGAGATGTAATGTTACTATTAGCCTTGAGCCTAGTGCTTGGGTAGTATACTCCCCAGGGAGATGAGAATGAAAATCACATGCACACGGATTCACTGACCAGGGGAATAATATAAGGGTAGCTCTATTTTCCAGGGCATAATCATTTGCAGAAGCCTGAGGTCTTTTATTAACGGCCCGACAAAGGAGCATTATAAATCAACTTATTTTTATTGTTATGATGATCACAGCTTGCTAACTTGTCTTCAATCTGGAACAGGTTGAAGTGTGCAATCAATCTAATAACCTTACACCGACTACCCCCATTGTGACCACCTGCAAGGTTCCAACTTAAATGGGCAACAATGACAGTGAATGTATCAGGGAACATTTCTTTTACCACAATTGATTGGAGTGATGAGTGAGTGAATTTTGTAGAATTTTCCTATTCGGAATATTCTATAAGTAATACGTTACCACTGTTATACCGAGGCTGTTGTCTCCCACAACTGCTGCTATAGCGAAATCTACCACAGAGATCTCAATTACCTCATGCAGCACGTGCGTAGCCACCTAGCTGCCATGTGACACCCTTCACTCTTGTCTCCTGCGAGAGCAAGTGCTCGGGGGACGGACGGGCGGGCAGCAGCCCAGTGGTAACGTATTACTTATAGAATATTCCGAATAGGAAAATTCTACAAATTACATTAAGTAATACGTTACCACTGTTATACCGAGGCTGACTACCACAGTAGGCGGTGGGGAGCACCTACAACCCGAATCCTGACTGCTAGCGTTCCTTCCGACCAGCGGAAGTAAACACCAAGGCGGAAGCACTCGATGCGCATGCACCTAGCTAGGCGTTACCCTATAGGAATACCAAAGCACTGTCAAGCGCATACCGTAAGGCTCAATCGTCATTGCCAAAACGATTGGTGACTCCAAACGGCCCCACTGGATAGGTATTTCATCGCCGCAGCGGATGAGAACACTGTATCCGCGTGAGCTTAATCTTAGATCAGGTTAAACAGTCGAAAAGAGGGAAATTAATTTCATTCAGACCGTATATCCCAGAGCAAGCCTACTTAAAGTATGCATTAGGCGCGTGACCTAATTCCAGTATTTGTAAGCATGCATCACAAGGTTGGGATACACGACAGACAATTAAAGACATAATTGTCAAAATACAAATAAGGACAAAGCACACAAAAAGCCGCCCTCACCTGTGGTGTGAGTGCGCTGGTTTGCGGGACCCCAACTCCTGTACCCACGGCAGTGGGAACATTGGAGTAGACCCAGATTGACCACCGTGCAAGGTCAGACGCCTGAGGAGTTCGGAATTGCGCTGGGCACACCCCTTAGGTGCCCGCTTGCGCCGCGATCCGCGGGCCAAGACGGTGCACACTCTCCACGACGGCATCAGCGACCTGTTTGAGGTAATGATTGGCAAAAACCGAGTCAGAACGCCAGTAACAACCTCGTAATATTCTGCGAACAGAGATATTCGAGTGTAGGGCAAATGTTGCCGCTAGCGCCCTGATCTCGTGCGGGGTTGACCCCGCTACCGGTAACCCCCGAGACCGGTACGCCAGATTGATGACAGAACGAAGCCACAACGCAATCGAGTTGCGAGGTATGTCAACCGTGCGATTAGGGTTACACGATATGAACAGACGGTCACGCCCTTGTCTACGTTCATTCGAAGCCTTAAGATAATACTTAAGGGCCCTAACCGGACACAGCGCTCTGTCCTCAGTATCAGCAGGATGTAAGATTTCTTTGAGTGATCTTACAGTGAATTCTCTCTCCGTTTGCCCGACTCTCTGATTCTTGGCGACGAAGCCCATGAGCAGGCCCAGGCGGACCGCTCCTTCGTCACCCCTATCGAATCGTACCTTGGCGACATCGAGTGCATGAATTTCGGATACACGTGCCGCCGTGGCAAAGGAGAGGAGAAATGCTGTTTTCCAAGTCACATGCCGGAACGAAGCACTATGCAAGGGTTCATACGGAGCTTCCGTAAGTGATTGCAACACTAGGGAAAGATCCCAGGCCGGTGCCCGAAGGCGGCCCTTCTTAAGATCGTGCTGTTTGAAACCCTTGATAATACCCCGTATCACCGGCTCTTTGGAGAGACTGGTACCCATAGCAACGTCCCGTACCGTAGCAACGGACGAGACATAGTTGGCAATGGAACCCCCGAGAGTTTCCGGGTCTCTCGCAAGTGAGACATGAAACGAGCAATATCCTGCACAGATACCTTATCTGGCGAATGAATGTGATGTTTACAACACCACTTCGTGAAAATAACCCAACGTGCATTATACACCTTCTGGGTAGAATCACGATGCATACTAACGTATGCCCGAGACGCCCGGCGAGAAAAAACTTTACTCCTCAGACGCTCGGTGACAACATCCACGCGTGCAGATTGAACTGCCCTGCGTTTGGATGAAGCTGACGGGTGTGAGGGTGGATCAAGAGATCCGGTCTCACAGGCAGTGGAAGTGGCGACTGCGTGACCTGGGTCAGCAAGTCGGGGTACCACGATCTGTTCGGCCACATGGGCGCGATCAGTAACATTCGACAGCGAACTCCTCGGAGCCGGCTTAGAATGTGTGGTATCAACGCTGTCGGCGGGTAAGCATAAGCGACCAAGCCCGTCCAGTCTAACGCGAGAGCATCGTGATCGATGGCCCTCGGGACCGGGACTGGTGATACAAACAACGGGAGTTGATTGTTGAACCGCGTTGCGAACAGGTCGACCATCGGACGACCCAAACGTTCGCACAGCCACTGAAACACTACTGGGTTCAGCATCCACTCTGTGGGGCTCGGATCCTGAGGCCTCGATAGAGCATCGGCCAGTACGTTCCGCACACCTGGGATGTGACGGGCGCGTATCTGGCACGGGACACTGTCCACCAGAGCGTAAAACTCGAACGTGAGATCGAGTAGCGAGTGACTGTGGGTTCCCCCCAGTTTGTTCACATAGGACACTACCGTCGTGTTGTCGGTCGCCAGCATGAGCCGGGCGTCGACGAGACGATGCTTCCAGTGATTGACTGCGTTGATCACTGCCTTGAACTCGAGACAAGTGATGTGAAGACCTAGTTCGTCTAAGCACCACAGCCCCGAGCTCACCTCCCCCTTTAGATGGGCGCCCCAGCCCACTAGAGAGGCGTCTGTATACAGGGTCAACGTGGCCCGGTAGGGCCGCATAGAGACTCCTGATAAGACAATGTAAGGGACCGTCCACCACTCCAGATGCGGTCGGAGCCGATCCGGGAGGGCGACGGTCGCACTGTTCACCTCCGTTGCTAACAACTGGATTAAAAACCGTTGCAGCGGGCGGAGTTGGAGACGACCCCGTGCGGTGCAGTCCTGGGCTGATACAAGTAGCCCGAACAGCTGTTCCCAAAAGTGAACAGTCTGTTGCACCGCTAAGACTTTGGCAATCATCGCCTGAATTTTGTGCCACCGGTCTGGGGGGACAAAGAGGCGATGGGACACCGTGTTGAACCGACCTCCGATGAACAGCAAGTTCTGAGAAGGGGTTAACTCGCTCTTGGGGAGATTGATAATCCACCCAAATTGCTCCAAGAGCCGACGTGCGAAATCGAGATGGCGTGACAGGGTGTCCGTCATTCGATTTGCTACTAGCGAGTCGTCCAGGTACGCGAAGTACCGGACACCCCTCCTGTGGAGGAACCCCACTATGGGGGTGGTTAACCGGGTGAACAGCCAGGGAGCGGACGTGTGAATCATTCTGAGTTCGGCACTGTCCTACTTGGGAACGAGAAATATCCTGGAGTAAAACCCCGGTGTTATTTCTGGTAGAGCTAACTCCCGTACTGCCCCTTCTCCACCAACCTGCCGATGGCATCGGCGAGGATGGGAAGATCGGTTTCCGAATCGAAACCTGCCAACGGGGCAACGGTGAGCGGCGGATTCGCTTTGAGATCAAGCCGATAGCCGTACCGAATCGTGTTGACCACCCACGGGTCGTCGAACACTTGTTCCCAATTCTCCCAGTAAGTCTGGAGTCTGGCTCCCACTGGGGAAGGAGAGGGGGCCCTGACAGGTTGCGACAGGCGCAACTGTCCAGGGCCAAGTGACTCGGGTTCGCCTAAGGGCCAACCGAAGTTGGCGCTGTCGGCATACGAACCCCTCCAATGAGAGTCACCTGGAGGGGCCCTTGCCGTCCGTCGACGACTTGGGCTTCCCCCAGTTCCCCGTTTTCCCGCGAAAGGGCAGCTGATTGCCCATACCGGAGCCCTCAGGGCGGGGCTACTTCCCAGAGGAAGAAGAACCCGACCCCTTAGACCTACCGGCCGCAGCAGCCTGGGGCGCGCTCCGGTTAGGAGCGGCACCCAGGCGCCTATGCAGGGACCCAACAAGAGCAAGTGTGTGCCGAGAGTCCTCGGCAACGTACTCCAGGCAAGCATTTAAACTGAGCAGGCAGTTGTAAATGCGCTGGTCACGGTCCGTGGGAGAACCTTCGACCAGACGGGCCGCTTCAGCCAAGTAAGTGTCTCCGTGAGACATGGAGTGCCGAGCGAGGGCGTCCAGCTGGTGCAAGGTAGCTTGCGTTACCGTAGCAGCCGGTGGGGCACGGACACCCAACCGCTCAACATGGGCCTCCGCGGTAGGACCAGCCTCGGGAAAGGCAAGGTCATGTACCGGGAATAAACCCTTTCTCCACGACGTCGGAGGCAACGGGAGACCCCGACCGGAGGCCGCCGCGAAGGCGTTCTCCAAGGAAGGCTTGAAACCGCGCAGCAAGGTTGATGCGGGGAAAGCCGAGTCGGAAGACTCATCGTATACCTCGGAGGAACCCACAGTCGTGGATTCCCCGCGGTACCGGCCGGGGCATGTCCTCAAAGAGGTCATAAACCATGGCCACGCGGTCCTAAACCGATAGCGGGAGCAACGGTTCGGGGGAAGGACCGGTGACCACGGGAGCCGCCGCCGTACCGGTGGACCCCGCGTCCGACCCCGCGGCCACCGAAGTGGCCGGGGACGGAACAGCCAGCGGCCTATCCTGAGATAAGGCCGCCAGCTTGGAGTCCACAAGTTATGCAAGTAATGCAGCGACGGAATCCCCGGACAGCACACGGGCCGCCAAGAGATCCGCCGCTTTACCGGTGGACCCCGCGTCCGACCCCGCGGCCACCGAAGAGGCCGGGGACGGAACAGCCAGCGGCCTATCTTGCGATAAGGCCGCCAGCATGGAATCCACAAGTTTCGACAACAATGCGGCGACGGAATCCCCAGACAGCCCGAGGGCCGCAAGGGGATCCGCCGCAGCCGAGGAGGTGGTACCCGCACGGGGACCCCGACCGGACGAACCGGCCACCACAGGGGTGGAGACGGACTGTACGTACAGCCGGTACCGCTCAAAATCCGCAGGCCCCAGACCTTCGCACAGGATGCACCGGGTGTCCCCGCAAGGAACCCTGCACCGCGGGCAACGAACGTGGGGATCCCGGGACGACAAAAACTTTCTGCACACCCCATAACTCCGAGGAGCAGGGGTAGAGGGGGTGGATACTGGGGACATATCCATGTCAGACATTGATTGTTTGCTATAAACAAAGAACAAAACATGGTTACAACGCACGCACCACAATGATTCACAAACGAACATTTTCACAAGAAAATAAACGAGCAATGTGAACATATAACATACACATATAACTTTTATTAAAGAAATAAGTTATGTTAACCCCCAAAACATACAAGAACAGGGGAAACGTAAAACACAACGTGCATACGCGAACCCCGCAAGTATATAGAAAAAAGGGCGGGAAAAATTTTCCGTTTGGCGGGAAAATTATAACCAAGCGTAGCTACCGCAACGCCCCATAAAAGCACAGTTTATTAGAAAATAAACTATAATAAATATCACCAAATCTTCAAGGAACGCTTCAGCAGGAGAAAACACGTCTTGCTAAGCAGACGAAGGAGACAAGAGTGAAGGGTGTCACATGGCAGCTAGGTGGCTACGCACGTGCTGCATGAGGTAATTGAGATCTCTGTGGTAGATTTCGCTATAGCAGCAGTTGTGGGAGACAACAGCCTCGGTATAACAGTGGTAACGTATTACTTAATGTAATTTGTCTTCAGCTGTTGTTAGCAATATTCCAGCGATATCGCAACAGCCTGTAAATAATCAAGTCTGAGTTAGGAAAACCTGAGCTTGATTGGATGGGCATCAAAACGCTGCTGTTGAGATACCATGTTGTTATTGTCTGAATATGCTGGCTGTGATTTTTAACAGTGTGGTTTTGCACAATTTCTATACATACTGGGTGTTGAGAAGGGGGCGACTTACATTTGTGCTCCCCATGACTTCTGCTGTTGCTGTTGTTGCTGCTGCTGCTGTTGTTGGATGGCAAACATTTGCTGCCTCTGAATCTCAAGTTGGCGCTGAAACATAAAATAAATGTCATAAAATAAAATTCATAATTTCCTTACAGTTATGCCACCTAGACAATCAAATTATATCATGATGTCTTAGTTTGAGACAATATTAAGTCACCATTACTTTAAACATTTCAATCCATCACTATCTCTCACTTCCCCTCAATGCCATTGACTAATTTCCAGTCCTTCCTCACACTGTCATCCTTAAATACTGACATCCTACCAATTCCCCACAAATAACACTCCCATTCTATCAGCCACCACTGGTCAACTCACTTCTCTCTCCTGCATCTGTCTCTCCTCCTCCTGCTGTATCTCTGCCAGGGACTTCCCTTCGTTTGCCTCCCTCTGCTGCAGCTGACTCGCCCACTGCGCAGTGGCAGGAAGCTGACACAAAACAGGCAAATCAAAATCAAGTCAACATTTCAAGCAATCTCCAGTGTTTGTCCATCATATTACACTGCAGTCAGTAGCACTCCTACTATAACATGGCAACTTGTATATTATCAGTCTGGACCAGGCAAACCAGTGACTGAAAGCATGAGCAACGATCTATACCATCAGGGTGTGGTAACATACAATCCATCAAATCAAAAAGCCTGACAACCTTGTTATTTTTAACAACAAGCATGTGGCACAGGGGATCTTAACCCAGGCAGGCTCCACAGAATCCACACAGGGATATTTGTCTGTTTGTTTGTTGTTTAACGCCGCACTCAGCATTATTCCAGCTAGATGAAGGCGGTCTGTAAATAATCGAGTCTGGACCAGACATTCTAGTGAGTGATATCATGAGCATCGATCCACGCAACTGGGATTTGGTGACATGCATCAACCAAGACAGCGAGTCTGACCACCCAATCCCGTGAGTCGTCTCTTACAACAAGCATAGTCGCCTCTTACAACAAGCATAGTCGCCTGTTATGACGAGCATGAAGACCTATTCTAACCCGCATCTTCACGGGTCTACACAGGGATAGCAAGTAAAACTTGCATCCAAATTTCCTGTGAATTACTATGAGCTCTGATCAGTCAGGTGACTCCAAAGTATCTTATATAGCATCAGTTCGTGTACCTGCATTCGAGCCAACTGTTCTTGTTGTTGTTGCTGGAGACGTCTTAGCGCCTCTTGCTGAAGTTTCTGTTGTTCCTGACGCTGCATCTCCTACAACAAAAAGTAACCAAATATAAATTATGCTAAAAGACTTTGTCAATACTCCTGATTTTCTAAACATCCAATCTGAAGCTGTCATAATCCTTGCTTATCAACTTATAGGTTTGAAATTTGACTTAAAGGTTTCCAATGCAAATTTTTTATTTTATTTATAAATAATAGCAACTATTGAAACTATTGTCTGAAGTATTGACAAGTGAGTGAGGGAGTGAGTGAGTGAGTGAGTGAGTGAGTGCTGTTTAATGCTGCAGCCTGTAAATAATGAGTGAAGGCAGGACAGACCACAGACTTATAGTATGAGCTTCAGCCCAGGGCATCGTATAGTGAGTGAGTGAGTGAGTGAGTGAGTGAGTGAGTGAGTGAGTGAGTGAGTGAGTGAGTGAGCGAGTGAGCGAGCGAGTGGGTGGGGGTGGTATTTTCCACCACTTTTAGCAATATTCCAGCATCACCACGGCAGGGGCTTCACACATTGTACCCATGTGGGGAATTGAACCCGGGTCTTTGGCGTGCAGAACAAACGCTTTAACAACTAGGCTACCCGATCAACCAAGCCACTGAGGCCCCACCTGATCCAATTGTCGCCTCTACAACAAGCACTACAGAGCAGGTAGCCAGTGTTAACCCAGACCCACCAGGAGAGATCTGACACCGAGGTGTACCTGTTGTCTGAGTATCGGGTAAATGACTCCGTCACTATTGACCAAGCCACTGAGGCCCCACCTGATCCAATTGTCGCCTCTACAACAAGCACTACAGAGCAGGCAGCCAGTGTTAACCCAGACCCCCAAGGAGAGATCTAACACCGAGGTGTACCTGTTGTCTGAGCATCTCTCTCTGTCGCTCCTCCTCCCGCTGCTGCTCCTGCTGCATCTCCTCCTGTTGTCTCTGTACTTCCTGCTGCCGCAACATCTCCTGCACACAAGAGTAGCGTCATATAACACACTTTTACTAACTTTGAACACTTATAAGTTGTTTGTTTCGTTTGTTGTTTAACACCACACAATATTCCAGCGAAATGATGGTGGTCTGGAAGAGTCAATCATGTGATCGATATTGGAGCAACTATCAACACCAACGTCATCATGGCAGGCAATCAATCAAGTCACCAAGTCTGACCACCCGATCCATTTGGTCGCCTCTTACAATCATCATAGGTTGCTTGGGGCCTATCCCAACCAGGAATGCTCACGGGGAAACTATTTTTTGTACTTTCAAGAACATTCAAAGTTTTTAAGAAAATGTCTTACTCTAAAAACTCCATCTGCACCTACATCAAAGATCACGATCAGTCTTCCAGTGTCATCTCCAATTATTTCAACCAATAAACCCTAAGAGCAGATATTTATTCATAAATGGCAACCCATGCGATGGTCCATTGGAAAGTAAATCAAAATTGGGAACTAACATATTCTTCTAAAAACAGTTAAAGTGAGTGAGTATGGTTTTATGCCGCTTGTAGCAATAATTCAGCAAGATCACGGCGGGGGACACCAGAAATGGGCTTCACATCTCAAACAGTTAAAAACCTGGTCTATTGTGCTGACATATACCACTCAATGTTTGATAGAGATAATCAGATATGTGCCATCTAAATATACACTTGACATATCATGAAAGTGAGTTTTGTGTATCATGGAAAGATAAAGTCCCCAATAAAAGGTGGAGTAGCATGTCATTACAATACTGTAAGACGACAGATCAGTGCTTGTTTTACACTGCAGTTGGACAAAGGTACCCACCTGTTTCTTGTGTTCTTCCTCCAGCTGTTGTCTGTGCGTCTCCTCTTGTCGCCTCCTCTCTTCCTCTATCATTCTCTTCCTTTCTTCTTCCTGCTTCCTACGAGCTTCTTCTTCTCTCTGGACAACAAGCTCTTCTTCTCGGCGACGCTGCTCTTCTCGCATTCTCTCTTCTTCTCGTTTACGTTCTTCCTCCATTTGTCGTCTCATTTCTTCTTCCTCCCGACGACGGATTTCTTCCATACGCTATATGGAAAGTAAGGACTCTTTTCAAACCATTTTTATTAAGACATTTTAATTCAGAATTTCGCACAACAGATCTTTTCAATGCTGAGGACATCATTCACACAAAGCAAATATATCTCATCTCATGCCAAATGAATCCTCAACGTCAAGGACAATATGGACATGTCTTCACAATCTGCATCAAGTTATCAGATCTCTCGGCAAGACCTTGTTCTTGGACACTTCAGTAATTATGGAGCTGGTGATAGCTATTCTAACACAAGGAGCCCATATACTTCTTAGCATCTAATGAATGGTGTTCCAAGTATTCTCCTGGGCAGTTCAGCTTTTATGTCATGTCAGATACATGCTGTGCATGCAAGAAACATCTTCGAGAGGCATTGAGAAGTTGGAGGACTAAATAAGGATAAAATATATGGATGAACAACTTTATTCCATTAGATAACGATGCTTGATAACGGTGTTAGTACCTACACTGAAATGTTGCTCCTTATTGTAATAAAGAAGTTGTTCATCCATATATCTTCTCCTTACTTTGTGCAAGCAAGGCTCGCCTACCTTCAGCTCGACCTGTCTCTGTCTCTCCAGCTCCTTCTTCTCTCGTATCATCTTCTCCCTCTCTATGGCTATCTCCTCCTGCTGTCTCTTCAGCTCTTCCTGAGTTCTCTGCATCTCTATCTGACGACGTCTTTCTTCTTCCTCCTCCTGCTTCCGGCGAATTTCTTCTGCTTTCTGTTGCTGGTTTAGACAGAATAAGGTTACGACACTGGATGATAAGGGAGAACTGTCAGCGAGCCCTTGTGTTACGACACTGGATGATAAGGGAGAACTGTCAGTGAGCCCTTGTGTTACGACACTGGATGATAAGGGAGAACTGTCAGCGAGCCCTTGTGTTACGACACTGGATGATAAGGGAGAACTGTCAGTGAGCCCTTGTGTTACGACACTGGATGATAAGGGAGAACTGTCAGTGAGCCCTTGTGTTACGACACTGGATGATAAGGGAGAACTGTCAGCGAGCCCTTGTGTTACGACACTGGATGGTAAGGGAGAACTGTCAGCGAGCCCTTGTGTTACGACACTGGATGATAAGGGAGAACTGTCAGTGAGCCCTTGTGTTACGACACTGGATGATAAGGGAGAACTGTCAGCGAGCCCTTGTGTTACGACACTGGATGGTAAGGGAGAACTGTCAGCGAGCCCTTGTGTTACGACACTGGATGATAAGGGAGAACTGTCAGCGAGCCCTTGTGTTACGACACTGGATGGTAAGGGAGACCTGTCAGTGAGCCCTTGTGTTACGACACTGGATGATAAGGGAGAACTGTCAGCGAGCCCTTGTGTTACGACACTGGATGATAAGGGAGAACTGTCAGCGAGCCCTTGTGGACAAATAATCGCCACAACAGTGTATGTGAGATGGGTTAACACACTTTGAACAGTATTTCTGTTCCATCACAGCATGTCAGTGTAATATGGGAGGAATACAGGTCTTCAATGTCTACCACGTTAACCCATGAAACCCAAGTGAGTGAGTATGGTTTTACGCCGCTTTTAGCAATATCCCAGCAATATCACGGCGGGGGACACCAGAAATCGGCTTCACGCATTGTACCCATGTCAGGAATCGAACCCGGGTCTTCGGCGTGGTGAGCAAACGCTTTAACCACTAGGCTACCCGACCACCCCATGAAACTCAAGAGCAAGGGTATGGTACGGAGAAACCAAGGTCATAGTCAGGGTGAATCATGGGATACCAGCACACTAAGGGACATAACTCTGCACAGTGACCTGCAGAGCCTTAGACAACTGGGTGCCGTTGTACAAAACAATCTTAGCACTTCGTAAGGCTGTGTTAGGTATGGGAGTTACGATCACCTTAGCGCTAAGATAGCTTTGTACAACGGCACCCTGGACTACCCGTGCCCACTCTGCCATAAGAAATCATTAAACCTGGCTCATGCAAATATGTCTAACTGTCTAGGCTGACATGAGTGGCCACACATTCTACATTCAGTCTAAACATGAGAAAAGTCTGTCAGGCAAAAAAGTGTTAAATACCATTACTTCAACCTGAACCAAATTGTCTAAACTGACAGTGGATGGTAGTTTAAACAGAGGCTACTGTAACAACATTCTTGCATCAAAGGATGAACATTTTCATAAGCAGTAACCATAGCAGCACTGCAACAGGTCCGATTTTGATGGCAATTTTGAGCAAGAACTGACAATTTTGAAAGTTATAAGTTATAAGATAGACACAGCATGACCCTTCACACATATGGGGAATACTCACAGCTTGCAGTTTTTCCAGTTGCTGCTGGTTCACAGTGTTGGGTGACATGTCACTGGGCGGGGTCTCCAGGTCCCACACACTGCTGGGCTGAGACCAAGCAACTGCAACATACACAGAGCTACAGATAAGCAGCGTATTGGCGTAAAATACCAAACAAAATATTCAAAAAACAATTACTTTCAATTAACTTGCGTACAGAAACGCATGCATTAAAGGAAAAACTCAAATTATAAAAACAGCATGTGTAAATACCCAAAGAACCGTTTTCAGCATGCGTACAATGGAGCTAATTTCCGAAACACAATTACGAGCTAATTTACTTTCCAAGTCAAACCTATATATTTAGAACCGTTATTTACATTAATAAATCAAAAATGTTTACTCATTTTGGGAAAAAACCAATAGAGTGATGAATAGATGAGTGAAAAAATATAGGTTACCCAATGAAAAATGTAATAACCCAATTAAAATGGAAACCTTGGAGTCCTTGTGACTTTTGCCCTTGACCTTAAATGGCGGGTCAACACCTGGTTTTAGAGGACTTACCTTGTCCTGGAGGGTGCCCCTCCCCTTCTGCAGCAGGGCCAGGCTGGGGCATGTGATATGCTGGGTGGGAGGTAGTAGGGGTGCCCTCTGCTGTCTGCGGCCTGGAACACAGTGGTAGCTTCCACATCATCTCTGCACAGACTCATAGCACTACCCCGTTATTGGGATGGGCAGTCTTTTTGTTTGTTTGTTGTTTAATGACACACTCTATATTCCAGCTTTCTAACGCTCTCCCTAAAGTAATCTAGTCTGGGCCAGACAATCAAGTGATTGATATTGTGAGGAATGATCCATACCCTCGGGGTACAATAACATCCAATCAACCATATCACCGAGCACCGGATCTCATGGCTGGCCTCTTACCACCAGCAGAAGTTGCAGGGGACCTATTTCACCAGGATTCACCCCAGGGTGGATGGTCAGTCAAATCAGCAACAACTTTGTATGCCACCAGTGCCTAACCACACAATATCACCGAGCGCCGGATCTCATGGGTGGCCTCTTACAACCAGCAGAAGTTGCAGGGGACCTATTTCACCAGGATTCACCCCAGGGTGGATGGTCAGTCAAATCAGCAACAACTTTGTATGCCACCAGTGCCTAACCACACAATATCACCGAGCACCGGATCTCATGGGTGGCCTCTTACCACCAGCAGAAGTTGCAGGGGACCTATTTCACCAGGATTCACCCCAGGGTGGATGGTCAGTCAAATCAGCAACAACTTTGTATGCCACCAGTGCCTAACCACACAATATCACCGAGCACCGGATCTCATGGGTGGCCTCTTACCACCAGCAGAAGTTGCAGGGGACCTATTTCACCAGGATTCACCCCAGGGTGGATGGTCAGTCAAATCAGCAACAACTTTGTATGTCACCACAGTGCCTAACCACACAATATCACCGAGCACCGGATCTCATGGCTGGCCTCTTACAACCAGCAGAAGTTGCAGGGGACCTATTTCACCAGGATTCACCCCAGGGTGGATGGTCAGTCAAATCAGCAACAACTTTGTATGTCACCACAGTGCCTAACCACACAATATTAAATATAAATTGAGAATACAGTAAACTACAATAATAACGAACTCAAAGGGACCACTAATTTTAGTTCATAATAACCGTAGTTCGTTATAAGCATATATACAGCATGTATACAACAAAAGGCCGGGACTAAAAATAAGTTTGTTATATCGGTCAGTTCGTTATAAGCGTGTTCGTTATAAACGTAGTTTACTGTATATGTTAATAATTGACATTGCAGACCTGGGGGACACTACAAGCTAGGGCTGCTTGAATCAACAGAACAAATGAAAAATGTAGATTGTATTTCGCATGTAACATACATTTCTCTCTGGTACAAAAGGGTTCAAATTCCAATGGCTGATTGGTTAATTTCAAAGTACCACAGTCTCAAAGACCTAGGTATACCCCTACTGCCGACATAGCACTTCTGTATGACTCCAGACTTCTGTCTTAAAGCACAAATACTAATTCAACTCACTGTGGGGACAGCCTGTTCTGTTGTTGTTGTTGTTGCTGTTGTTGTTGTTGCTGCTGTAGTTGTTGTAGCTGCTGAAGTTGCTGCATAAACATAGGTTGTGTCTGCATCAACATCTGCATCACCATCTGTTGCTGCTGTGGTGGAGACATGTTCTTGAATGAATCCTGTTCTTGCATCTGTGTCATCATCTGGACCTGCATCTGTCTGCAATAATCAACACTCATCTTGCACTTGAAACACCTCAGGGTCCTTAGACGCAAACTATTGCCTCCTTATACTCCTCTACCAAAACATATTGAGAATGGACATAAATACTTTATACTGCAAGTCCTGGGTTTAGCTGTTTGAATCCTAAAAGAATTTCACAATTGTTCATGGAATGTTACATATAACATTCCTATTCTGGTAAGAAATACTCAAATTTCAGAGTGGCAATAGCTTATAGGCTTAAGGCTTCTGAGCATGAGCTATGATATCACATCAGTTTTGTTTGTTTGTTTGTTGTTTAAAGCCGCAATCAGCAATATTCCAGCTATATGAGAGCGGTTTGTAAACAAACAAATCTGGACCAGACAATCCAGTGACTGACATCATGAGCATCGATCCACGCAACTGGGATACAATGACATGCATCAACCAAGTCAGCGAGCCTGACCACCCGATGCGGTCAGTCGTCCCTTACAACAGTAGTCACCTTTTACGGCAAGCATGCTAAGATAATGAAGCCTGGGACAGTGGTTAATGGGCTGAACAAAGAAGCATGCCGTGAGTGCAGGAATACACACTGCCTATTTGATCCACACAGTTCATCAGCCAGGATAGGGTTCTGCCCTAGAACAAAAACTGTTATTCAAATATTCCTGGTACTCTGTGAGATTTCGGTCTCCCCTTACCTCATGAGCATCTGTTGTTGCATGAGCTGTTGAAGGAGAAACTGTTGAGGTATGATTCCAAGCAGGTCCTGAGGGGGTGGAGGAGTGGGCGTTGGCTGCTGTGGGGGTGGGGTCTGTTTAACGGGGGCTTCAGTATTGGCAGCTGTTACTGGGATGTTCTGGCAATGAAACAAGGAGTAACAATGAATGTGGAGGAAGAAATTGATTTATTTTTTAACATATTGTAGCTTGAAATGGGTTGAATACTTTTCTTTTCAAGGAAACATAATTTCTTCCTTCTACAAAGATACTAAAAATTACTAAAATACACCATTTGTTTTGTTCATAGTTTATTCACTGTTTTCAGTAAATATTGACTTTGACATGTAGCATCACAACACAAGGAACGTGAAAGTCCATGTTCATAGTTTATTCACTGTTTTTAGTAAATATTGACTTTGACATGTACGATCACAGCACAAGGAATGTGAAAGTCCATGTTCATAGTTTATTCACTGTTTTTAGTAAATATTGACTTTGACATGTAGCATCACAACACAAGGAATGTGAAAGTCCATCTTACCAGTAATGGAGGTGGTGTTGGGCCAGCTAGGAATGGAACTCGGCCCCATCTCTTGATCAGCTCTCCTGGAATCGTACAAATAACAGTGAGGTGAAATGGGTCCCAAATCAAAATTGCGCAACAAAATCGAAATCCAGTTCATAAACTGTCTTGATAATCGATTTGACTGTCTTGACTGGGTGCTGCCATTTTGTTTGAAGCAAATGCAATTAATACGACCAATCTGATTGGTCCATAGGAGAGGCTTAGAAGGGATATAACTCGTAATAGCCACTGGTGGTTCTACGATCGAGACAAGGAATTCCAGCCTAGTTCGGCAAGGTTGGAAACTGGACTTTTAAAGTCAGCAATGTCTCTTGTCTCGGGAAAATGACTTATACAGTGACGTGCATGCATGTGTCAGTGTCTGTGTGTGGCGGCTTGTACCAGTCCAGACTAATACCAGTTTACTAGTGCAAGCCCATTGAGATATGATGCCGGAGTTTTAACATGAATCCCCCACTAGACTCCGAGCCGACCAGTCCTTCTTTTATGCCCTTAATACCAAGCATCAGGCATGGTAACAACAAGCACCATCTTTTAACGTCCTTGGGCTGTATCCACTAGCCCATGGACGTGCTTCTAACAATAACAGTTTACTGTAAATCTCTCCGTTCATAAAGGAAGTTGAATAAGTTGGATGAATGTTACTTTAGAATGCATTTTTCAGTCTTAGAGCTCGATATGCCGATGACAATGACCTAAAACAAGGTTCCAACTTACTCGGATTTTAGAAGGCAAAACTTGTAATGGCATGGTTAAAACAAGCATGAAATACTCATATCCCCCACCAATATGAAATGTCCAGTTGTGTGCAAGGCATTAGACCACAGAAAACGAGCACTACTGCCATTTTTAGTCGAAGTCAAAGTCATTGCTATGGAAGCCTTGAAAAGAATGTTTTTAACAAAAAATAAAACTATCAAAAGGCACCAGTTCACCACCAGACCTATTTACGTGCCAAGTTTGGTGAATCATATTGTACGGTTTTCAAGACCTGCTCCGGAAAGCAGCGCTACCGCCATTTTCAGTCTAAGTCCAAGTTGTTGCCATGGAAACTCGAAAAATACATTTTTAAAAAATCCCAAACTATCAAAAGGTTCTCCACTAGACCTATCTATGTGACAAGATTGGTTAAGATATATGTCATGTTTTTTTAGTTCTGCTCCGGAAACGAAACGTGACAGACAGACGGAAGGATGGATGGGCGGAAGGACAGATGGACAGCACCCATTCCTATATCCCCCTTCCACTTCATGGCAGGGGTAATAGGTTTGGGGAGCCTCAAGGGCACACAGAAAAAGCCAAACCAGTGATAACTGTACTTTTGCCAAAATAAACATGGCAAACACATGGAAACTTATGAACACATGAACACACTTATTGTAGGATACACAAAGTAAAGGAAGGGGGCAAACATTCTCAATTATAACTGCTTCATATCTAACCTTGGCAAAAAGATATCCACCAAGTTCAAAGATGGATCAATAGTATACATCTCGTTGGCACACTTTCATTCCAAGTGGCACAGTTAAGGCGAGGTGAAATGGGGTTTAACGTCGCATCCAAGATTATTGCACTTAAAAAGCGACCTGCATGCACGCGTGTGTCTGCGTGCGTGCGTGCGTGCGTGTGTGCATTGCTGCTTGTACTAGTTCAGACTGATGCTGATTTTAGAATGCTTGCACACTGAAATACCATGCCACAGTTTAACATAAATACCCCTCTCAGACACAACATACTGACTCCGAGCCGACCAGCCCTTGCTTTAGCCCTTTAATGCCGAGTGCCAGACAGGGTAACAATTGGTACCATCTTTTAATGTCTTTGGGTATGACACAACCGGTTATCGAACCTAGGACTTCCAGCTCTCCAGGCGGCCGCTCTACCACTAGACCATGGAGGCAGTCTGGCACACCTAAACATCGTTATGAGCATGAACAACATGGTGATGGAACATACCTAGCTGCTGGAATCGTTCATCACATCCCCTTTTAACCAGAAGACTCATTGTAAAGTAACCAGCACTGAACCACTGGGCCATCTCCTCTGGGTTAAAAGGACCTGAAAAAGTGGAGTGAGTGAGTGGGTGAGTGAGTGAGTTGATGAGTAAAATCTGATTTCAGCATCTGCACACAATACATGTTATCTCTTCATCTTACAAACTAGTAATATACTTAATCTCCGGTGTTTGTGAGCCTGGTAAGTTTAGGTAGAGCTCAGAAACTTCAAGGAAACACTTTTGCAGCAGGAAGGCATCTATCTCAAAGAGACAAACCAGCAATGGAGACTCCCATATGTTAGTCAACATGGCGCTAAGATCACTTTGTCAAGCGGAGCCCGACTGGTTACTTTGGAGACATTGCGGTAACTTGACACTGCTTTAGGCACCTTATCTGACAAGCAAGGGTACTAGGATCTTTCCTGATAAAGGAGACCCCTTTGTATATATAACACACTAAAAGTTATTTGAGTCTGTGTCAAAAGCTTTTGAGTATTCAAGCCCTAAACTTTCACTTGACATCATTTTTAGTAGATCTCAGTGTTATTAAATGGACTTAAGCAAAGCTTACAGGACCAAAAGACATTTTACTAGAACTATTACTGGAGCTTTGAACTACTGTATTCGACATAATAAGCGCCCCGGCGATATTTGCTAATATATTGGCTAGTGAACAATCCTAATTAGCACCCCTTCCGATTGATCAATGTACACAAGACTTATTTATTCGCGTATAATACGCACTTGTGTGTTATATACACCTTTAATTATGAGCAATTAAATTCTTGAAAAATATATCTGTCGTACATAGACATTTCAGGCTGTCAGCATAAACCACAAAATTTATCTTTCAACTCGTTTTTTGTCACCAAAATAATATTCTAATAAGAGCCCCCTATTTCTAATTTTGAAAGCGCCCTGGGCGCTTATAACGTCAAATACGGTATTGGCTAAAGTAACAGACTGGCATTCCTCCTGTGCTCAAAGTCATGGATTTAACCTGTACCACTCAACATTTACTAAGGACCACACCTTGGACTTCAGATAACTATATTTTAGGCCTTGGCAGGAGAATCTAAATATTCTAACAATGCCTCCTAAGAGATATGTTTCATGCCATGTCCCTTGTGATGTCCTTGTGGGTATATGTGTACCTTGGACATCTCCTTGGGGATCCCTGTAAAACCACTTGAGGGACTCTTCATGACTTAGAGGGACACCTTGAGTCCGAGGGTCCATGGGCCCTCTCTGTAACCTGTTCTCTTCATCCTGATCAGAAAACAGCATTGTTATCTCATGGAAATTCTACCTTCCATGATTATCATCAACCTTCTTCCACTCAACAAAGTTTATGGTGAATGTGTTTACCAAGTTTCATAAAGATTTCTCTAATAATTTTCAAGTTCTGCTCCAGACATGAAACCCGCTGCTTTCATTCAGTTTAGGGACCAAGTCCAATTTATAAAATTCATATAAAAGAAAAGACAATTTTGGGGGAATCATAAATAGCTAAAGGCACATATACACCATACGGTGAATGTGTGTACCAAGTTTAGTAAAGTTATGTCTTATGGCTTCCGAGTTCTACTCCGGAACCTCCAGAAACCACACATTTAACCACATCAAATCCACATCAAACCCAGATTACTTTGGCACCAAAGCCCACATGGCATCAAACCCACATTACTTTGGCACCAACGGCCACATGGCATCATACACACATCACATTGGCACCAACGGCCACATGCCATCAAACCTACATCGCATTGGCACCATCGGCCACATGGCATCAAACCTACATCGCATTGTCACCAACGGCCACATGGCATCATACACACATCACATTGGCATCAACGCCCACATGGCATCACACCTACATCACATTGGCACCAATGCCCACATGGCATCAAACCCACATCACATTGGCACCAACGGCCACATGGCATCAAACCTACATCACATTGGCACCAACGGCTACATGGCATCATACACACATCACACTGGTATCAACGCCCACATGGCATCACACCCACATCACATTGGCATCAACGCCCACATGGCATCACACCCACATTACACTGGCACCAAAGCCCACATGGCACCAACGCCCACATGGCATCACACCCACATAACATCGGCACCAACGCCCACATGGTATCACACCCACATCACATTGGCACCAACGCCCACTTGGCATCAAACCTACATCACATTGACACCAACGCCCACTTGGCATCAAAAACCGAAATCAACAAGCCAATAGATCACCCCTTCTCTCCCACCTGGCGCGACAAAGGCCGACACAAGGGCAACACGCTAGGAAGATTCACACACACCTCTCCCCACATATTTTGTACCTCAGCTGTCATTTCGGCTACCATGTTCTCAGCGGCCTCCTTTAATCTATCCAAGGGATCACTGTCCGCTGTTGGCAGGCCACCCTTAACTTTCTTGACAGGTACACTCACTTGGTTCACACTCATAGTGTTTAATGTCTGTTCAACTGGAGCACTGTTTGAGTCATTAAGACTTTGTGACACATCCCCAAACTGCACAGATTTTGAGGGATCTATTCTCTTAGGTTCCTGATTGGATTTGACAGCAGGCTGTGGAGACTGAGACTGGCTGTTGCCATGGTTACTAGCACTTTCTTGTTTGACCTCGGGAGCACTTGTTGAGCGCTGATTCTTCTTATCCTGAAAGTTCAGAAATGTCTGGTGACAATGATGCTAATAAATCATACATCCAGGATCATGTGATTTGAAGTGCCAATATATTCCTTCAAGATCACGAAAGATATTCTTGTCTTTGAATAGCATTAAGAAGTCAAACACATAAGGAAGAGAATTTATGGATGCCAACTTCTTTATTATGAGGAACGGTGAGTTGTGTTTTAATGCCGATTTGAAGAGTATATACGGTAATAATAAGCTGGATAATCAAAGAAGTCAAACAACAGGCGTACCCTTCTCTGTTCTCGAGGTGGTTCCTTGCCCTGAGGAGGCAAGTCTGTGTTAGGCTGTGACGGTGACTGATTGGTGTTCTGTACATCAGAGTGCGGACTCTCTCCATTTCTAAAGCCCTGCAAACAACTGTATCATGACAACCTGACATGCACAAACATCAACAAGGTCAGTTTTGTTGGTTTGTTTTTTAATGCCACACTCAGCAATAGTCCAGCTATATAACATTGGTCTTTAAATAATAGAGTCTGGACCATACAATCCAGTGATTGACATCATGAGCATCGATCTTGCAATTGGGATATGACATACATCAACCAAGTCAGCGAGTCTGACCACCTGACCAATTAGTCGCCTCTTAGGACAAGCATAGTCGCTTTTTACGGCAAGCATGGGTTGCTGAAGACCTGTTCTAACCCGAATCTTCATGGGTCAACAAGGTCAGCGGTCAAATTTAATGGTGGTCAAGAGACCCTTTAAACATTGCAAAATTTATACATATAAATATTTAACACGTTCAAAGAAACTCATAAAACAGCGTGACTGCAGTAAGCTTAGTAATCTGAGGGAAATGAAATTGAATTGACATCCTACCTTCGGATGAGAAGTAACAAATGCCCCACTGGCATCGAACGTTCCCAGCTCTTCCATATCATCATCACCAGGAACACTCCATTCAGGCAAATCTACATGAACAAGTCCGCATAAACACAACTCTGTGAAAGTGCCATGGTAATATACATGTGGGGGATGTTCGATGGGTGGGTGGGTGTTTGAGTGAGTGAGTGAGTGAGTGAGTGGGTGAGATGAACACCACGAGTTATGTAACAGTATGTTGGCTTTCTGAGGAGGGTAATGCAGATCTTCAATGTAAACTGAACAAAAAAAGTAAAGGATCATGAATATTTTTGGGGACATGTTCATGAAATTGTGTGCTCAGTTTCAATACAAAAAGCACTATATCCCAAAACATATTCATGATCCACAACTTTTCTTGCTCAGTATATTCAGACAGGGTTTGAGTAAGATATGGCTTAGGGATTTGAACAACTGGCTTTCAACCCTCCAAGCAGACCGTTTTCAGACCAGTGTCCTAATCCTTATCTTAAACTAATCCTCACTCTAATCATTTATTTCAGCACGACTGAGTCACGAGGGACCTATACTGAAAGAGTCCTTCATCATGCTGATTGGTAGGAGTCTAAATATTCCGATTTTCAGAATATGTAGAATTATTACCAAGACACACACAAGTCTACAATGTCTATCTCACACTTCCATGTTCTGATACTGACAAATGAATACTTATGAGTGTGTTCAGAATGTTCTGCAACTTGCAGGCCTTACCCAACACAATTAACGACAAGCTCATGATGCATGACAAGAGATTACGTGGGCAACACCACATCGAAGCAACTCTTGAAAACTCAATGGGAAAACTGATGGGAGTCAGGACAAGTTCATGTGGACTCTCCCCCTGTTTCTGCAGCAGGGTACAACTCTGTACAAGACATCAAACAACCATACTTTCATAAGGTCTAACATCCTTTGTGCTTGCTTTACGGATCTGCCAAACAAAGAGGGAGGGAGGGAGGGAGAAACTAACAGTCAAGATCACTTTGACAACAAAATTTGTACAGGACTAAAACAGAATTTTTTTTAACGACATACATCTCCACTGGTGCTATAAACTGTCCTCAGTGCATATGGTTGTCATGGTAATGATAAACCCTAATCAACTGTCAGCCCATCCAAAACCAAAATCAAAATCTGGAAAAAAAAGAAGAAAGAATTCTTGCCTAATGGACATGTGACCAACTATCAATAACCGGTACTGACGTAAAAGTAGTGGTGTCCACGGCTCCGGTCCATAAACCAATGCTACCACAAGCTACAACAGTCATACATCTAAGTTCAAGTGTGGGTTTTCTGATGAGTGGTGTGCTCAGGTCACTTTGAGTCACAGGCCAGTTGCAGAACCTTCTGAACACGATGATGTGCAACAGGGTAACTCATACAAACACAGAAAGTGAAACAGACACTTTCCTGGTATATTGCCTAAAAGTATAAATGCCTCACAGATTACACCGATATTTCAAAGTAAACATTACATCTATTACTTCAATCAATTTCAACTCAAAAGAAGTAAAAGAACACCTGATTCTTTTATATTACTATCTGAAACTGCCAGTCCATCACAGATTAACCATAGCAACATGAAAGAATCGCGTGTTGCTTAACTTCTTTTGATTAGTATATAAGGAAAATCCAATTAAACGAAGTTGTCCTTGCATTACCAAAGTAGAATTGAGAAGAACGTGTAATCTGAACATTTATAAGTTTGGGCATGACCATGTTTGGTTGGTTGAGTGTTGACTGTACCATCCGTGTCCCATGATTCACTACTCCTACTGCGTCTGTACAGCTGGTGCTTAACATCGGCATCCGAAAGTGTTCGGTCTTTATTGGGACCATTTTGTCTCCGCTCACCATCAAATCCACCTCGACCAATAGGTTCTCTCCAGTTGGTCCGTGTGCCTAAAAACATAGAATGCCAACTCAAAAGAACTGTCAGGACTGATTTTTCTTAAGTCTTTTTTGTTGTTTAATGCCACACTCAGCAATATTCCAGCTATATGATGGCAGTCTATAAATAATCAAGTCTACACCAAACAATCCAGTGATTGACATCATGAGCATGGATCCACACAATTGGGATACGATGACATGCATCAACCAAGTCAGCGAGCCTGTCCACCCGATGCTGTTAGTCACCTCTTACAAAAAGCATAGTCGACTTTTGTGGCAATGATGGATTGCTGAAGACCTATTTTACCCCTGACCTTCAGTGGTCGAGTTTCGTTAGGAAAAAGCATTCTTGATCACCCAGTGTATTTTATCTATACTACTCTAAAGAAGTTAAAGTACACCCACTTTTTTCATGACAGATTACCTATAATCATAGGAAATATTCAGGTGAAATTTAACTTCGAGTAGAATATATTCTATTATGAAAAAAACACTTGAATCACTTGAGGTGAAATGGGTTTTTTCAAAATAATTGCATGGAGGTGGTCCTGACTAACATAAGAGCATATTCATCTGTTGGCCAACTTACTCCATCTTTCTTTCTGTGGCCCTGCCCTTCGCCAGTCTCCTGCATCATCTTCATGTGTCTCTTCTTTCTCTCGCCAATTATCACTGCTCAGCGATCGAGAGAACTGAGGGTGTCGCCCCCCTGCTTGGACGTCCTCAATAGTACGGGTGGAGAAGCTTCGGTCATACTTTTTACCACTGGAAAACGCAATGCACATGAAATAGATATTTTACAGCTGCTGATGTTAATTTCCGTGATAGCGTGACACTGTCATCAGTTTTCTACGACAACCTTACCAAACAGGTCACACGGAAAGGAAACTTGAACAAAAGTTTCCTCATCATGAAACCTGAGAAGCAACAGTCAGAGGTGAGGTGAGGTGAAATTGGGTTTAACGTCGCGTCCAAGATTATTGCACTTATATAGCGACGTGCATGCACGTGTATGTGTGTGTGTGGCTGCTTGTACTAGTCCGAACTGATGCCGATTTATAGTGCTAGCTCACTGAGATACCATGCCGCAGTTTAACATGAATACCCCACTCAGACACAGTATACTGACTCCGAGCCGACCAGTCCTTGTTTTAGCCCCTTAATGCCGAGCGCCAGACAGGGTAACAACAAGTACAATCTTTTAACGTCTTTTTGTATGACGCGGCCCGGGATCGAACCCCGGACCTTCCGCTCTCCGGGCGGACGCTCTACCACAAGACCCCGGAGGCGGTCCCAACAGTCAGAGAAGGTAGTCCCCTTTATTGTAAGACTAAGGTAGTAGGGATGAGTAAAACTGGCAGTTTTTGTGACGACTCGGTTGACTTATGGAATTCAACTTCTTTATTATTTCAATGCGACACTTCGGTAGGTGCTGAAACCGTTATCACTTGGTGGAAAAAGGTACCTAAACCTGCTAGTAGATTTTTTGTGTATTTCGTTTTCAATGGCGTCACCAGTAGTCTGATGGCAAATGGCAGTAAAGTCAACCTTCCTAATGGTAAAAGTTGTAGACAATACGGAAATGTCACGATTCTTTCCTGAATCTTACTATGTTCGGACAAGCTGACTCAAGGTAATTTCAATTCCTGAAGAATATGTTGGTGAAGGTGTCAATGATTCAGCAGTTATTACTGATTATGATCTTGTTGCTAGGTGCTCTGAAATAATCTTAATGTTCACAACATGTTTGATATTTGGATTACTAGTGACCTTGACGAAATTATCCCAAAATATATTCCATCTGAGTCTGGCCAAGAGATAATATCCCAAGTTCAGTAACAACTATCCAAAAGTCAAATCAAAAATGGCCTTAACCATTTCTACATATAGAACATTTTGACACTTCCAACTTGGCAACCATAACAGCTGTGCTTAAAATGTCATCATCTGCATCAGAAACACAGACAGCTGTGAGCATCAGGCTTACACTTCTTCCCATCCATCTTTGTTCTGACCCCGCGATCTCCCAAAACCACCGCCGTTCTCTGCTTGGTCAAAGGGCTGAGTTCTTGGAGGGAAACCATCGCCTCGTCCCCGCCCTGAAAAAGTGCCATCTTCGTAAGAATGACACAACCATCATGAATTACTTCACACTTATATCTACAGTATCTGGTGATGGATATTTGAAGACTGTACATGGAGATGAATTTCTGAAGAACTTTAAACACATCATGGAAAATCTCAAAGTGAGGTCTTAATTCCAGCCTTGAGTGAGTGAGTGAGTGAGTTGGGTTTAACGCCGCTTTTAACAGTATTACAGTTATATCGCGGTGTGTCACCTTAATGTGGGAGGAAATCCCGAAGTGATGCAGGTCTCAGACGTTTACCACTTCAGTAAAACCCACGAGCACGGGTATGATGCCGACAAAGCTAGAAACATAATCGGGGCGTACCGGGATTCCAACCCACAATCATAGGTTTCTGACATGCCCAAGGGACACAACTCTGCACAGTGAATCGCAGGGCCTTAGACGACTGGGCCACCCGTGCCCCTTCCAGTCTTAAAAACCACAGAATTCATAAACAGGTATTCTCACTAACTGAAGCCAAACAGTTCTCACAGAGGGCTGAAACAATACACCAACGCACTGCCATATCAAGCTCGGGATCATGATGTCTCTCATTCAAGATCGATATCTAGTCTTCGATAAATGGTTTCAATAACATCTGCATATCAGATGGTTCACAAACTATTTCTGACTAACATTTCAGCAATATTCATTATTCAATCTGATCATGTATTTGGGTTGTCATAAAACCTAAAAAGATCCTGTGAAAAGATTTGACTTTTGTTTGCCTTGTTCGGTCACGAGTATGTCATCTTAGCCAAGGGTACTCTGGTACATATATTGCGACGTTGGTGCATTGTTTCAACCCCTGTGGTCACCAGGTGATTGTTGGGTGCCTACCTCTGCCTCTCCCCCGGTCTCCACCCCCTCTGCCCCCTCGGACTGGCTGCCCCCCTCGACCCATGGACCGGAGCACTGTTGTACTGTTCACAGACTGAGACATCAACCTCTGTAAAAGGAAACAGAAACTTGTGATAATTCATGTCCAGGGTGACCAAGGGTTCTCATAATAGCTGAGCAGTCAGTTAGAAAACTTTCCTGAAACAACCACACACCAATTTTCAGTTGATCTTTGTTTTATCGTGAGGATAATTATTAGCTGAGGATGCGGGACAAAAAGAAATGTTGCCAGATTCTGACATTGACTAGCATTTTATCCTTTAAAACTTTACATAAAAAATGTACATGCACATTCCTCTTTGATCCTACCTGCAAAATGTCAATGAGAAACTTAGGTGAGGTAAGGTGAAATGGGGTTTAACGTTGTGTCTAAGATTACTGCACTTCTATAGCAACGAACATGCACGTCTATGTGTGTTTGTGTGTGTGGCTGCTTGAACTAGTCCGAACTGATGCCGATTTATAGTGCTAGCCCACTGAGATACCATGCCGCAGTTTAACATGAATACCCCACTCAGACACAGTATACTGACTCCGAGCCGACACAGTCCTTGTTTTAGCCCCTAAATGCCGAGCGCCAGACAGGGTAACAACAAGTACCATCTTTTAAAGTCTTTTGGTACGACGCGGCCAGGGATCAAACCCTGGACCTTCCTTTAGCTCATATCTCAGTACACAATCCGGTGATTGATATTGTGAGCAATGATCCACGACGTCCTGGTACAATGACACACTATTTAACTTACCCAGACTACCCAATCCATCAAGTGGCATCTTTACGACCAACATAGGTTGCTGGGGACATTCTCACCTGGAATCCACCCATGGCACTTAAAATGAATAATACTAAACAAGTCCTCAAAAGCATTTTAATCCCTTACCTGTTCTTCCTCAGTTAGAGAAATTAGAGCTAGTGGTTTCTGCGCCTCTTCAACGTAGACTGGCGGGAAGTTGACAAGGTCTTCAGGGGCTTTGTAATTACTGTGAAAGAGGGCTAGCATCTCCTCCCGCCCATATCTGTATTCTGCTAGCTTGAATTTGCCCCCTAACCCAGGTGTGGGCGGGGGAGATGCAACACTGTTCCCGCCAGACAGCTGTCGGAGCCTGGGGAACACGAGCAAGGCATTTTAACAATATTCTACATCCATCATTATGAATGGCTCTCAAGAGTAGTGACACGGTGGAAGTTAGTGTGTCAACACTATACACTGGCTGGTTATACACTGGCTATCGATATAGATCATGGAGATCGCTAATCACTAACTATGTATCAATCAATTATCAATAAATATCAGAGAAGTAACTTTTAAGCAAATATGCAAGAAAAAAAGGGGTGGGGTGGTGAAACAGCATTTTAGTCATATCACCTGGACTTTTACGCTTAATTTCACACATTGTAATATACAGCCTCAGCTATATCACACGATACACATCTACAGTGAGGAATTGAGTCTGATTTTGACTCTGGTTCAGCAATATTCTGCAGCTGTTTCATAATCTGACAGTGTTGTAGCTAGGTGCTCATTCAAAGTCAACAAACACCATCAAACACCTCGCCCCTCATTAATACGCCATGCATATATTACTTATCTTCAATGAATACTCTTCCTCTTTGTCATTCATATATTAAACATAACAAATTTTGTTTTAGACACTGTTCTTATTTAACGTGTTCAACAATGCATGGTAGCTTGAACACGGTTTAATACAATCGTCATTGTACATATCATGGTTCCAGTAACTTGAAATTTCTGTTTTCAAGACCACACTTTATTTTTTCAGTTGCTCTACGGATTCGCTAACCCTAACTTTTTGTTGAAATGGAAAAAAGAAAAATTCAGAATCTTTTCTATATCCTGCCAATAAGATGAATGTTCCACCATAAAAATATTTTCCAAGCAAGGATCCAAAGAAGTCAACATCAATGAAACATTGGGAGTGAAAATAAGGTTTGTTGTTCATGACACGATACATCTTCCCTGGCAAGAGCGTCCACTAGCCTTTTAAATCAAAGTCTTGTTTCCACCTTTGCCACATCAAGCCCACTTTCCTGTGCTAAATATGATTGGACTATCGCATATATCGATAGGTTTCTCCTTATTACCGACAGGTATTTTCCCATAAAAATTCCATAAAGCAATTAAAATTTGTGCATGTACTTACCATTCAGGGCCAAATTTGAGAGTATCTGCCATTTTAATATTTGTTGAATAGCTGAAAAAAATAAAGCAATTAAAATTTGTGCATGTACTTACCATTCAGGGCCAAATTTGAGAGTATCTGCCATTTTAATATTTGTTGAATAGCTGAAAAAAATAAAGAAAAGTAGACATAATCAAATAATCAGATACAGAAATATTATTTACATAAAATCTGAGGAATTGGGAATATTTTGATTCAATTTTAACTTTCATTTGCTGCTGACATGGGGCCAAATATCGGCCTCTGAACAGATCTAAATAAATCAATGTAACCTTCAACCCAACACAAACAATATATCTGTGCACTGAATTTGAAATAAATGGAGACCCCTGGCATCTGAAAATGACAGATAATACTTGTAACATGATATACAGGGGATATACCAGCATTTTTCTATTGATTTGGTTGTCTAAAGTGACAACTGTACCAACAACAAATAAGATAAATAAGCATTATTATGGATGGGGATTTCCTTGATTGAGTGAAGTAAATTGGATGTGTAAAGTACATTCCATATGTATGCAACCACAACTACAGCCGAATTGTACTTAATTATTCAAACAGCCATACTTTTTGAGCATCCCACGGGATATGCAGGGTACATTATGTGCGTCAATTTTCGATTTTTATGTCAAGGACATGATATTATGCATCTGGTAAAACCCTGCATAAACCTACATCAGTAAAGCAGGGGTTTATCTACATCAGCTCAGTGGCCGACAGTAAAAATTCTCCATTCCTCAGTCCAATCTTTTAACAATATCACACTGTTTTCCCAAGTTGCCTGCCAAAGGCCCTCAAGTTTGGAATCCTAGATAAATCTGTATAGAGTGAGGTATCGCTGCCTCTACAACAATTTTTAGTAATAGTATTTCATTATTGCCTCTAGTTTCAGTCTTTACATGGGGAATGAGTTCATGCCAAATGTTAAGTTTCATGGAAAACAAAGCATTGCAGTTTTACAACACATTTTCACAATGAACCAATATCAAAATGAACTAGAAAATGAGTAATGAATGAGTTGAATTTTACACAACGAATCAAAATCCAGTCTGACGAGAAAACATTTTAATCACTGAGCTACTTAACACCCCAGAAAATATAAGGAAGTAATACTGGTTTACTGCCTAGCCAACAAGTCAGAACATGATATTTTAAGAGACAAAAGCTGAGTTCAGTACACCAAAACTGGGTTTGTATTAAAAGTAACAAGAAAAGAGCGTTATCACTATCCCACGCCATGGGGCACATTGGAGTATTGTTTGTTCATACAGTACTTATAGAAGTGATTAACATGGAAGTAAATCTTAACTATCAAAAAAAAAAACAGGAGTCCTAAGTTTTTGAAAAAATGTGTCCCCATTGAGAAGCGGACGGCCAAACATTCCTTTATCACCCATCCCACTTCGGATAATAAAAGCAATCAAAGAGGATGAGTGATATTGTTTGTCTTTTGTCTGTTGTTTAATGTCGCACTCAGAAATATTACAGCCATATGGCAGCTTTCTGTAACTAATCAAGTCTGGACGAGACAATCTGGTGATTGACATCATGAGCATCAATCTTCACAATTGGGATAAAATGACATGCATCAACCAGGTCAGCGAGCCTGACCACCAACCATGTTAGTCGCCTTAAGTCATACAACAAGCAGTGTCGCCTCTTATGGCAAGCATGGGTTGCTGAAGACCTCTTTTCCACCCGGATCTTCACGGGTGTTGATGGGTATTCCCATGATGTAGCCACTAGTATGACACGGCTACTTCACGTAATTGTTCATAGTGAATCGTTTGTGTCAAATATAGGATTTTGTCCCAATGGTAGATTTTTTTCAGAAACAGAATAAACATGAGAGAATATAAGATGCCTTTACACATATATCATTCATATATTCACAGCAAGATACACATGATAAAGGGCATTACTACCTGTCATTGATAAACACTCAATTATTCATGATATAGAACATGAGAAACCTAAACAAGTGTTTAACATGATAGATCTTATTCTCATGGGGTTATCAATGCAAATGAAATTATTTCCCTCGTTAATCAAATACCTTATCATTAAAGTGACTTACAAAGAAGTACATGAAGAAGCTTATCTTTAAATCTAAATAAAATTTGGAGAAATAGTTGAATATGATTATTATATTCTTCATAACAAATCAATATCTTTGAGAAGCAACACCATCCTTGTGTCTGTATGGAAGTAAGTTCATCATTATAGGAGTTTTGTTTGTTTGTTGTTTAACACCGCTCTCAGCAATATTCCAGCTATATGACGATGGTCTGTAAATAATCGTGTCTCGACCAGACAATCCAGTGATTGACAGCTTGAGCATTGATCCACGCAATTAGGATATGATGACATGCATCAACCAAGTCAGGGAGCCTGACCACCTGATCCTGTTAGTCGTCTCTTACGACAAGCATAGTCGCCTTTCACGGCAAGCATGGGTTGCTCTAGACCTATTCTACCCCGGATCTTCACGGGTACATTGAAGTAGTCCTTCCCTCTTTATCAACAATTGTAAACTGATACTGAAACAAACATAAAAGTGTGGTCACATTTGCCAGGCTTCAGGAAGATGGATCACAGTGTTTCCTTCCCTGTAATATTATCAACATATTTACTCTCTTCAAAAGGTGGGATTTTTTTTAAGTTCTTATTTTCTTAAATTCAGGGGCATTTTAATAATTAATGACTAACACATTGACGTCTTTTCCTCATTGATCCTGTAATGAGGAAGTCATATTAGTAATAAATACTAAGAAATACTAAGGAATACTGCGGTCTTGGCGTCAAAATGTTGGCCTCTCTGCAGGTCTAGATACATTCCTGATAGGATATTTTTTATCATGTTGATAAGACCTTCTATTATATTATGACCAAATACTTTTGAAAGAATCTTCAGGAGAAAATCAGTCAATGTCCTGGAAAATAAATCCCATGAGAAAACTGCAACATTGCCAATATTGCCCAAAAGGCCGAGTCAGATGGTCTCATAGTAAAGCTGTCCTAAGGGCTAGTAGGATTTCAGACCATGGAGGTGTGGGTGGGGGGCATCCTTTCACGTTATCACTTTTCAAGCTGGTAATATGTCTCAAGTTGCATCACTTATAACATACAGCAATGCTGCAAAGTCAACACAATTCTTTTACAAACATCTAGGCTAACAGACGACCATGTGGTCAGTCATTTCATCTCATCTTGAACATTATTGAACCCTATAGCTAACAAGTCACATCAAAATAAGTTGCATTGCTTGGATTTGTATCTGATACTCGATGAAAGAACTTTGACATCAGTGTTCAACAAATACGCTAACCCACAAAACAAACAACTTGTAAGTGCAGGACTATCTCAAATGCTCCCATTAATTCATGATATTTGCATAACTTGGTAAAATTTAGTATGTTAGATTGACAACATAATATTAATCAATATTTGACTTCAAGTGTTCAAGCTATAGTGGGATTATTTCAACTTAATGTGATATTATTAGCTCATTGGGAATGCATCTTACTTCTCCTTTCTTAGGACTAGTTTGTTGGTTTAAATATACACACAACACATACATGACATATGCCGTAGATAAGAAAATCTTTTACATTTTCTTACAGTAACACAAAGGCTTGTAGCTTACAACGGACTCCAGTGTCCTTATATAGTACAGGTTCAGACTACTCCACTGTGTATGTCCACATTAAATGTGAATCTATTTATCTTAATTGACATGACTGTGGGTTTGAAGTACTCAGTGTATTTAGCTGTATACTGTACTGTGGTTAATCGGTGACATACATGCAATAAAACCCATCGACATGATTAAGTGAATCATTTCTTTACTTAACAGATACCTGATCAGATATTATGAGGCAGGTTCTCTTAATGCGGTCATTTGACCCAAACACAGCTGACAACAGCCATTAACACAAACAAAACATTCAAAATTACATGGAACCATCTCCTGAAGGCTGAGGTGATATCGTGTGGTGATGTCGTGTCTGACAACTATGCCATCCATTATCCTACAGCAGTCTCTTTAGAAGACAGATTATTGGAAAGGTAAGTTTTGTAAGTAATTGTGTCATTTTGTCATTGAATTGCAAAACAATTAACTTATTCACAAGTAAATATTCAGTATTCATAGTCTGTCACACTACATCACAAATATAACAATACTTTACATAGGTACTTTGAAACTGGATGTGAGTTAAATGCACCAATAACATGTCAGTATGCAACCTTGCGAGATTATTGTTTCGCGTGCATGGCAAATTCTTAGGGAGTGAAATTGTGAAGACACATGATGCGCAAAAATATTCATATTACTACATCAATACCCTATTCATGTGTCATAGAGCATCGGTGCATAAGGTGGAAAGACCAACATAATTTGACATTTACAATGAGCAATAACTGTCAATCGATAAGGATGTGCAATAAGTAAAATATTTACACTTACAGATGGTAAGTAGGCCTATGCAAATCGTCGTGGTTTGTAACGGTACCAGATGTCAAGCGACAAACGGGCATAAAACATTGATGGAATGCGGTTATACGGTGTTTAATTAATAAATTGATATTGTCAGACATAGAAACAATGATTATAAGACCCCAAGATTGTGCCAGCAAAGTTACCTTGCCAATTTTACCAGCTTGCACACGAAAGCACACAACCAAGATGGCCGTAGAGCAATAAGGTCACGTGACTTGATAACAGGAGTTGTAGCTTCCTAAACACTGCTTCTATCAACTACGTCATTAATGTGTGAAAACGTCTCAAGCGGTGTTCATCTAACAATCTGTCACCGGCGGTAATAAAGTTATACAGAGCATTTAACTACCTACTGAGAATAAACAATTAGTTCGACGGTATATGTTGTAAAGAGGTGCCAAGCTTCTATCATGTGCGAGGTAATGACTAATTAATTGTGGCATATAGTTTATTGGTAAGAACAATAATACGCGGTATTTCTCGCTTAATCAACAATCTTTAGTTCCAACGAAATATACCAACTTCAGGTTTTCATTGAAGTGACTGAAGGGCATGTAGTCCCTCATCGTTGATTATCCAGTGCATTATATCATCATTTTATGTTGATACATATTATCAACCAATATCTAATATTAAACCATATACTGCTCGAAAGAACTTTATGAACATCCCGGGTATTTTTCATATTGCTGTAGTTAATCTGTCATGACAGATTAACTATAGTCACATGTCAGATTTGGGAGTTCTTTAACTTCCTTTGTGTAGTATATGTATGAGAATAGAAGGTTTAAAAACAAGAGAGAGACAGACAGACAGACAGAGACAGAGAGAGAGAGAGCCACAGAGCGAGACAGAGAGAGGGAGGGAGGGACAGAGAGAGAAAGAGGGGGAGGGGGAGGCGGGAGGGACACAGAGAGAGAGAGAGAGAGAGAGAGAGAGAGCCACAGGGAGAGGGAGAGAGACAGACAGACAGAGAGAGACAGAGAGAGAGAGAGCCACAGAGAGAGACAGAGAGAGGGAGGGAGGGACAGAGAGAGAAAGAGGGGGAGGGGGAGGAGGGAGGGACACACACACACAGAGAGCGAGAGAGCCACAGGGAGAGAGAGACAGAGAGAGTAAGTGGAGTTAAATTGAACACATTTTTAATTGGCTAGCGCTGACGTCATAGTTCTCCGAAATGTCATAACGTCACATTATGTCACGAGATGTTTAATCAGACCCAACAACTCCATTTTAAACTGTCCATATGATATAGTTTACAGATGACAACAGCTTCAGTGTTACTCTTGATATAGGTTAGTTCTCATATGACACCGAACTGACATTTCAAGCTGTTAACTTTGTTTTCACGATATCAATATTTTGTTTGTTTGTTGTTTCACGTCGCATTTAGCAATATCCCATCTATATGACGACGGTCTGTGAATAATCGAGTCTGGACCAGACAATCCACTGATTGGGATGAACATCGATCCACGCAGTTGGGGTATGATGACATGTATCAACCAAGTCAGCGAGCCTGACCACCCGATCCCGTTAGTCGCCTCTTACGACAAGCATAGTCGCCTTTTACAGCAAGCATGGGTTCCAGCCCCGTTCCACAAAGCCATCTTAGCGCTAAGGTGATCGTAAGTCCCATACTTTAACGCTGGCTTACGATAATCGTAAGATCTTCACTGGTATATATGTGACCAGTATGGACATGAGTGAATAAACAAAAACAATGAAAAGAAAACAAACAATTAACTATGCCACTGCCAACAGTTTGTGCAATATTTGATGCCATTAATAAGACATTATATATGATGAATTATCTACAGCAATTTAGGCATAGATATCGCGTTCTCTAACTTGTCCGTGATCATGTTCAACAGACGGTTGTTCTTCGTGTATCGTGTATAAGATAGCCTCATGGAATATAGTACATCTTCATTTCAAAGGGTTTGTAAATCGGGCACCGGCTCTGACAGCGGAGGTGCGAGTGTCGAAAGGGAAGGTAACTTAATACTCAGAACGAGATATGCATGCTTGTCCTTTATATTCCGTGAATCTTCCATACATGGTGAGTTGGAGAATAATATGCATGTATGTAATCGCTGAGCTGCATGTGATGACAACAGCTTACATCATTGGATGGACCCCGGAGGAGGATGTTCCGTGCTCTGGGTGACCGTCCCGAGCTCAGCTGTCACCGTCCTCTCTAGACTTGATTAAGTCGCTTTTTCACACATAGGTTATTAGCTGTGATCTAGTCTACAGCGAATTCGGGGTTATATTTACATCGGAAACACATGGCTCATTTAATTTGTGAGTTACTCGCTGCGTTTTATGTTTTGATATTCTTATGATATCCATTTGAAACCTCTTAAATTATATGTCCTTCAGTATTTGTGCAGTCTCTTTAGAATTCAGCAGTACAACTCAGAGCTACAGATATTTGCGTATAATATACCCCCAAAACTATTCAAAATCCAATTACTTTTAATTAACTAGCGCACAGAAACGCATGCATTAAGGAAAAACTCAAAAGTGTAAAAACAGCATGCGTAAATACCCAATGAAGCTTTTTCAGCATGCGTACAATGGAGCTAATTTCCAAAACACAATTACGAGCTAATTCACTTTCCGAGCCAAGCCTATAGTTAGTACTGTTATATACATCTAAAACATTATTTCATTTTGTTTTAAATCTCAAAACCCAATAGAGTGATGAATAGATGAGTAAACAAATATTGGTTACCAAATGAAAAATATAATAACCCATCTAACACATAACATTTTCATTGTAGTTTTTCAAAAACATTGGCAGCTCAGAAATTAACGGTTTGTTATAAACATAAACATTGTTGTTGACAAACTACACATGGGATCACAGTGAGTTCATTATATCCATCAATTTAAGAAAAGAATGCAGCAAATGGCCTGGACCAAGCAATCCAGTTTGTTATATCCGTCATTTCGTTATAAGTGTGTTCGTTATAAACGTAGTTTACTGTACCAGTATTCCATGATGAAACAAAAACCTCTTGAAAACTCTGATCTTCTTCGGACCCAGACAACTCACACAGCTCTACATCTACACCTGTTTCAACTTTTTAGAAATACTGTTACTACAGGTCCACTGAGCCAAGTACTACAGTTAATCTACTTACCTGTATTACTACCTGTAATCCTGTGTTTATATTGTTGTATGTTTTATGTGCCAGCAATCCAAAGCAATAATGTCAACTTGCACATTGTTTAGTGTTACATAATCCCAGTCATGTGACTTGAGCTCTAGAGGCCTTCGTCTAAGCTTGGCTGCTGAGCCTGGATGCAGTTTCTGCCTGAAGCACTCAATAAATCCCCAACTGCCACTGGGAGGAGGGGGGGTGTATGTGGGGAGATCAGATATTTTTCCCCGCTAGTAAACCTATTATTTTCCCCATCAAAACTGAGCCTGAATAATTCTTAAAGAAAAACACCTTGAAACAATGAATTGTTTGACAGGCATTTCTTAGAAGTTGACGGACCACAAAGTAGACACAATTTATGGATAACAACTCCTTTATTTTACTGTAATGGCTACATTACAATAAAATAAAGAAGTTGTTATCCTTACATTGTATCTACTTGACCTTGAAACGATGTTGGGGAACGGGTGGCCCAGTCGTTTAAGGCCATCGTTTTGGTGTGCAGATTTGCGACCATTGGGTGACCATCTTCACGGGTCGGCATTTCTGAATTTTAACACTGTTGTAATTTTGTAATAACTATTATTTCAAGGCTTTTATCTCTGTTTTAACTTTGAACAAGTCGTGACGAAACAAAATAGATTATGCCTCCACTAGGGCTGGGACGGGTAATTCGGGTACTCGGGTCGGGTGGGTCCTGAGTAGGACCCGGGTACCCACAGGACTACCCGGACCCGTGGTTTGTCACGTGATATATATTGTTTAATGACAAAAAATATCTAAAACTCTATGATTACACTATAAGTCACTAATATTCCTATTTCTTTCTGACAATGCACCTATTCCTTCTTACTTTTATATGTTTGAATGAAGATAAAACTTCATACATTAAACTTCAGTGTATGAGTGAGCGGATCATTTTACACGAGTACCGTATCTAAATACATTTTGCCAGGGCTACGGTCAAACTTTTCGAAATTGGACAGTTTGTACCTATCTCTATATATCTGCAGCAGGTACCCGGGTAGGGTCGGGTAATAGGGCGATGGGTACCCGGGTAGGGTCGGGTAATAGGGTGATGGGTACCCGGGTAGGGTCGGGTAATAGGGTGATGGGTACCCGGGTAGGGTCGGGTAATAGGGTGATGGGTACCTGGGTAGGGTCGGGAAAGAGGGTGATGGGTACCCGGGTAGGGTAGGGTAATAGGGTGGTGGGTACCCGGGTAGGGTTGGGTAATAGGGTGATGGGTACCCGGGTAGGGTCGGGGAATAGGGTGATGGGTACCCGGGTAGGGTCGGGTAATAGGGTGGTGGGTACCCGGGTAGGGTTGGGTAATAGGGTGATGGGTACCCGGGTAGGGTCGGGTAATAGGGTGGTGGGTACCCGGGTAGGGTCGGGTATTAGGGTGTTGGGTACCCGGGTAGGGTCGGGTAATAGGGGAATGGGTACCCGGGTAGGGTCGGGTAATAGGGGAATGGGTACCCGGGTAGGGTCGGGTAATAGGGGAATATGTACCCGGGTAGGGTCGGGTAATAGGGGAATATGTACCAGGGTAGGGTCGGGTAATAGGGTGATGGGTACCCGGGTAGGGTCGGGTAATAGGGGAATGGGTACCCGGGTAGGGTCGGGTAATAGGGGAATGGGTACCCGGGTAGGGTCGGGTAATAGGGTGATGGGTACCCGGGTAGGGTCGGGTAATAGGGGAATGGGTACCCAGGTAGGGTCGGGTAATAGGGGAATGGGTACCCGGGTAGGGTCGGGTAATGGGGGAAAGGGTACCCGGGTAGGGTCGGGTAATAGGGTGATGGGTACCCGGGTAGGGTCGGGTAATAGGGGAATGGGTACCCGGGTAGGGTCGGGTAATAGGGGAATGGGTACCCGGGTAAGGTCGGGTAATAGGGGAATGGTCACCCGGGTAGGGTCGGGTAATAGGGTGATGGGTACCCGGGTAGGGTCGGGTAATAGGGGAATGGGTACCCGGGTAGGGTCGGGTAATAGGGGAATGGGTACCTGGGTAGGGTCGGGTAATAGGGG